AATCTTCTATCAGGCCAAGCAAGCATCACAAATGCACCTGCAACAATGCAGGAGAACCTAGAGCATGAAGCTCAATAAGAAGAAGAAGAGGACTAAGAAATAGACTCTGATGAGGAACTAGAAGAATATATTGGCAATCTTATAGACACAAATATGTGAATTGGCAGAGCAATCACCCAATTCATGAAGATCATGAAGATGGTGAAGAAGTCTATAACCCTGACTGAAGCCAGCAACTACCTAGCATGGAGCAAAGCCATTCTAAAGATAGCCTGCCAAGTAGATGTTGAGAGGATTATTCTGGAAAGGCAAGAGACTTCACTACAGCCAAAGTGCTTGAAGATTTCACAATACTGGAATATTCAGAACAATTGACTACATGATCTAATTGACAGCACAATACCTGTACAAGCCAGAGAATACTTCAAGAAATCAGATAGTCTTAGTGCTTATAAATTCTGGAAAGCTGTAAGAACAGCCTTTCAAGAGAGACCTGAGATACAGCAGAAAAGCCTACTTACAGAGTTAGTGAGAATGACACTACAGTCTGCTGACTCAGAAAGAAATTATATAGAGAGATTCCTAGCAATCTGTAGAGAATTTGAGAGATTAGAGTTCAAACAACTGGACCACACTCTACATGATATCTTGAAGATGAACATTATGTCCTGATGGAGAGAGTTTATACAGAACCAATTTGATATGGCATGCCAGAGCAGAATGAATCTACCAGAGAAGAATTTGAAAGGCCTACTGAAGAATATCCTCCACTGAATTCCCAAGAAAGACCTGAAGAAAGGCAGATCTACAAAGCCAAATACAAATGCAACAAGCTCAGATCCCCAAAAATCTTATAAGAATATGAACTCTGAATTCAATCCAGAGAAGAGCTCACTGCAGAACTGGAACTGCTATATTTGTGGCAAACCTGGCCATTTGGCTAAATTTTGCAAATCTAACAAGAATTCAAAGCCTAACAAGCCTAAAGAAGACTCTAAAGGCAAAGGCAAGGAAACAGCTATAGTTGCAATGGACAAGATCCATTTGGTTCATAAAGCAGCCTTCTCTATGAAAGAAGCACGCGAATCCACAGACAAATAGATTCTTGACTCTGGAGCTGGATCCCATGTGACCTCATGTACAGATCTAGTTCAAATGGACCCAAAGAGCCATGCAACACAACTGCTTATGGCAAATGGTTTGAAATCAGTCACCAGAGGATTTGGCACGGCCAGTATCCAAACTGACAATGGAGAATTGAGCATTGGAGGGGTTAGAATCATGCCTGACCTCCAGATTAACCTCATAAGCTTTGGGAAGCTTATACAAGACAGCTTTACAGTAGAACAGCTTTATGTCAACAGAGAACACATCTTCCTACTAGAATTAGCAGATAAAACACAGAGCTTTAAAGCCATGCTTAACAAGAATGACATTCTAGTTCTACAAACACCTAGAATACACAATTTACTGGCATACACATTTTCAGTACCTATAAAACTCCTAGAGCCCTGCTATATAACAGCAACTCTAGAGAATAAAGATAGAGATGACATGCTTTTGGCACTGAATCACCTGGCAAAGACACCAGAAATCAAGAAGGATATGATGGCCAATTGGCACAAATACTGGAGGCATCTCAACACCCACAATATAGCTATTCTAGCTAGAGATCCAAGAATGGTAATGTGAATAAAGGGAGTAAAGAAGCTAGAGTTCTGTAAAACCTGTGCTAAAGCTAAGCAAGCTCACAATCCATTTGAATCTAGAACACACTCTACAAAGCCTGGAGCTAAAATTTTTATTGATATTACAGGTGGCAGCCATACTCTATTTACAGACTCCAATTCTCCAAGCTACAGCAGAGCAAAGTATTTTCTACTTATAATGGACAATGCCACATAATACAGGTGGATCTACCTCCTGAAGAAGCAGGTAGAAGCTCCAGAAACTCTAAAGAACTGAATCAACATGATTAAAGTGTCTACCAAATGAAAAATTGGCACTATACTGTTCAATGAAGCTTCCAAATTGACAAGCCAACAACTGGCTGAATTCTACAGAAGCAAGGGTATACAACAGAAGATTACATACTCATATACACCTCAACAAGATAGAACAAGTGAACAAGAAATACAACTTCTTTGCAAGTGAACAAGAAGTGTACTTATAGATTCAGAACTACTCAATGAGTTATAGGGCAAAGCTCTCACCACAGTCTCCATGATGGTGAATCTATTGCCTACCTCAGTGCCTCTATACAGATGCAAGAACATAAAGCCATTGACACTCTTTGAAGCCTGAATGAGTCACCAACCCCATTGCAGATGGGTCTATAGGTGGGGATGTAACACCTACATGAAGATTTTGAATGAATTCTCAAAGCTCCAATCTAGGTTCAAGAAGGTCAAATTTGTAGGATATTGTGGCATGCACACCTACAGGCTTTGAGACCCAGAAACAAACAGTATAATGATCTTGCAAGATGTTATATTTGACAAGAAATTGGATCAAATCCCTACAAATTCACTAACCAAAGCTGAATATGTTGAACTTCTGGAGGAGTATAATTATATAGATTCATTGAACAGCTGGTAACACAAGTTACTAGCTTACCTTGCAAAGGAGAAGCCAGAAATCATGAAGAAGCTCACAGACAGCAAATTAGAGGCTTTAGAGCCCACATATCTGGGCAAAGAGCAAGAAATCCTCTCAGATGCAACAGAAGAAGAAGAGGTGAATGAAGCTGAGCTTCCAGTGCTCAGCATGTATACAGATATATCAAAATCCATCATCAAAGCCAAACACTCCAAAGAGTGGCTTTATTGGAAGAAGGCTCTAGATATTAAAGTCTCCAAACTACAAGAGAAAGGCACCTGAATTCTAGTCAAGAAGAAACCCAAAATGCAGATCCTCTCTGACAAATGAGTATTTAATAGGAAGCTCAACAATACAGATGGCACAGTATAATTTAAAGTCCATTGGGTCATACACAGATTCAAACAGCAAGAAGATGTTTACTACAAGAAGATCTATACAGTAGTTGTCAGTGGACCTACAACAAGAGCCTTCTTTGCTATCTCAACAGCCAAGAACTGGAAGATCAGAGTCTTTAACTTCATGACAGCCTTTCTAAATGAAACTCTTCCAGAGGATGAATGTGTATACATTCAACTACCCACTGGATTCAAGCACAGGCAGGGTAATCTAGTAGGGCTCTTACACCAGGGACTCTACAGGTTGAAGCAAGCTGCTAGACTTTGGTATCAAGCAGCTACTGATTATCTGAAATCTCTAGAATTCCAGATCTCTCCATATAATGTGGGCCTACTTTACCACAAGAGAAAGCAAATCTACCTAACTCTACACATCAACAACTGCCATATAATGGGACCCAACAAAGCCAAAACAGAATGGCTTATCAAGAAGCTTCAGGAACACTTCAAGATCAAGAAGATTACAGAACAGAGCCATTATCTAGGCATGCAGGTTCAAAAGCAGCTAAATGAAGACCTTTTTGTGAATCAGAAACAGTATATCAAGAATCTACTGACTGAATATGGAATGGAAGACTGCAAACCTTCTAAAATGCCAATGAAGAAAGGAATAAGTATTGAATTTGCACCAGATCAGACTCTCAAAAATGAAGTTGATGAGCAGGCTACATCTACAAATTACAGGAAAGGCCTGGACTCTCTACAGTTTCTAGTTATGTGTATGAGGCCAGATATTGCATTCACAGTCAATTATCTGGCAAGATTCAACAGCAGGCCCAATAGGGAGAGCTGGACAGCATTCAAGCAGATTCTACACTATCTCAAGAGCACAAAATCAAAAGAAATAGTCTTCAAAAGAGATATGGATCCTGAAGGCTTGAAACTAGCAGCCAGTTTGGATTCTGACTGGGCTGGAGCTGACCCTGCATACAAATTCACCAGCAGCTATATTATTACCATAAATAGAGCTCCAATATCATGGAGATTACAGCACCAGATGTCTGTCTTGAAATCTACAACTGAAGTGGAGTATTTAGCAGCTAGCAAAGCCACTTGTGAACTGGTTTGGATCAACAACCTGTTGATAGATGCTGGAGTAATTAGTGAAGGCTCAGCAAGGCTAAGAAGCTCAAAATTAAGTGTTGACAACAAGGGAGCTGTTGACTTAGCCAAAGCTGAAGCTATAACATGAAGAGCACACCATATTGAGATTCAGCACCATATGCTAAGAGACTGGATGCAAAAGGATGAAATCTCAATCAAGCATGTTGGAAGTGATGCAAATAAAGCTGACAGGCTCACAAAGGCTCTCATAATAGATCTCTATGCTCAATTCATGAGTGTGATAGGGGTGATGGGTTAATACAGGAAAATATGGAGGTTTATCAGTGAAGCCAGTGAAAATACTGTATTGCAGCAAACAGAGCTAAGCCTAAAGAAGAAATAAATCTGGATTTTGTAATTAATTTTTATCACAGATTTGAGAGATTTGGAAGCTTTGGATCTTTGTGGCTCTTGCTCACTGCTGGAGCTCGTTGCATGGGGGGGTGTTAGGTAATCCAACTAGCACCTCGCTCACGTGACCCACATAGATTAGCCAGATTCCTCTTTAGGTAGCTTAGCGAATGACAAGCATACAAGTCCTCCATCACTGTTGACCTGGAATATTATTATTCCATTTCTTTTAGGCTTAGTCAGCTTTCTCTCACTGATTTTGCCCCTGTATAATCTTTGTGTATGAGATCAGCTTTGAGAGCTTGATAGGTCAAATACATCATGCCTTTATTTTACTGAATGGATAGTTCCAACACATCCAAAGTCTGTTTGAACTGAGCATAACACCAATCAATGATGCTGATAAATGTTATGGACCCAGGAAGACCATTCGCTCACAGCGGAAGAAGGTTGTTCCTAGGCTGGATAGAGGTGACTCATGGGCCAATGTTACCATGGTGTATAGGAGGCTGCTCCCACCGGGACATTGCTGAGCAGAGTATTTTCAACATGGTTAACCTGAGGCAGGAGTTTCCAGCATGGTACTATTGCCTACATGCTCTCACTATCAAAGAAGATCAAGATGTGATTCCTGAAGACTTTGATGAAGATCTCTCCAGTCTCTCCAGTCTCTCTCTTGATTCTGGAGCAGATGTAAGCATATATATATGGCATCCGCCATTACCGTGACCGGGAGAAGCTGACTGCAAACTTTTTAAACCAGGATGATGAGGATGATGTGGTAGATCAGGACAATACCATATCAATTAGATCCTATAATGGGCTAGATGCTGATTATTATCATGAACTCAAAGCAGATTGTAAAGCACAGAAGCTGGAGCTGAAGGAAATAAGAGAGCACAACCAACGGTTCAAGGACAGCCAGCAAACTTTTGATCAAGACAAAGAAAGAGAGGTCCAAGAGATGTATGACTCTCTCAAAAATGCAAAGCATGTTAGCAGGCTCAGTAACAGAAAGGAACAGGCAAGGACTCAGTTGGTGAAGGTGAGCTGCTAGGCAGCCTAAGATGCAGACTGCTATTTAATGCTGGCTGCGGTAGCAATGGCGTAGGGTCTGGTGTTTGGAGTTGTTGCTGCTCTGGCTGCTGTGGTGTTTGCTGGCATCAACTACTTGCAAAATATTTTTGTTGATCCTGGAGAGCCAACCTGTATACTGGGCAGTTGACTGGGAGTGTGTCAGCATTTGTCCGGCGCCCTTGTTTGTAAGTGCAGAGGAAATTACATGATGGCTCTGTTCATTGACAGTTTCTTAGTGAGCTTCTTGTTAGCAACCCTGAGAAATGATGCTTTTCCTTGCTCGCCTGTGGTTCTCCTCACCTTGTCCACCCAGAAGCAGCAGCCCTGACCCCCTTGTTGTTGTTGTCATGTACATGGGCATGTTTGTCATTAGCTCTCTGCCGGCAGGCCTGCTGCAGATGCTGTAGACCGATTGTAATTACAGTGTTTTGCTGCTTTGCAGGAATCACCACTTCAACCCTGGGATACCTTGGTGGTTCTGGATTGGCCATTACACTCCCTGCAATTTCGAGCATATCAACTACCTCGGCCGCAGTTGAGCTGGCTTTCTGCTTGGTTGGAGGAGGGATTGGAAGGCGAAATTTCCATTGAAAGATGGAATTGATCAATGGCTCTGGAGATCTGACTCTGTAATCTCGCCTGCCTTTTGATATATGAACCAAAGACCTTCTGCATCTGATTGTACACTTCTTGGAATCCCTGAAGGTTGTGTAGCACGCAGCATTTGATAGCCTGTAAGTATAGTGACTTGACTTCCACAAATTCTTCAGAGTGAAGAAACGGAGAGATGAAATGATGATGGAGGATATGAGCTAGGGCTTCTAGCTTTCCAAAGGCTGCTGATGGGATAAAGGCTTGTAGCTCTGTGGAAGGTGAATGTGTCTCTATCCAACCCTTGGGCAATGTTTGAGTGCCTTTGTCTGTAGATGGAGGATAATCAAAGAAGCAAACCATAGTAGAGTTAACCTCAATCAATAGCCTTAGTTTCCGAGCATCGCGAAAAGAAGAAAATTGTTTCACAAAGATGGAGGCAAACACTAGATAATGATTCCGAACCCACTGCCCAAATTTCAGGAGGATTTCCAAGTTCTGGATTTCCTTAATGAGATGTAAGTGTTCTGCAACTCTCCGCACCATATCAACAATGAGGTAAAGGCCAAGGCTAGGGTTGTTTGTTGTTGGTATACAGCGGATCTCCTGCACGGAGATTTCAAGACAAAAGGACTGCATCTGACACCAGGCAGAACAATTGATGGGAAAATCGCCCCATGGTAGTGGTTGTGAGGTGTTGTTGGCTTCCAATTGGGATAACAGCTCATGAAGTGTCCCAGTTGACTCTTGCAGCATGTCCAAGCAGTCAATTGAGGGCTCCCACTGCTTTGCTGTTTTGCCACATATTGTGACTGAATCAGTTGTGATCCTGATGTGGAAAGGGAGGTGGTAAAGCTCTGTAACAGCCTCAGAATATATCTGCTGACAGGTTTGTAGAATTGCTGTCTGAACTCTGCTCCCATCTGAGTGAAGTCAACTTGTGTAGTGCACTGGGACCAGCTGATTAGGGAAGAGGTGGCAATAGACTTGTAATTGAAGCTCGATCAGCAGCTGCAAAAAGAAGCATGGCGCAGTGTGGGTATGGCTGGAACAACACAGGAGCTGATGGGAAACCTGTCTTATCAGCTTCCCACAAAGAAAGCCACATTCAAGGGTGGCTACACAGCAACTTGCTTTGATGCGCTGTGCTTGATGTTGAGAACAGACTGGCATCCAGCCAGAGAACTGATCATAGCTTTGAACAATTCTTAAACAATGACTACTGTTTCTAGTCATTGCTTCGCATATTGTGGAGGAATCTGCATGGAGAAGGCAGTTGTGGTGGCCTGATGACTCATTTTGTAGCCTCTGTTGTTTTGCCATTTTGTCAGCCTGAATTCTGGAGGACAAGTGACTGCTGGATGGCACACTTGATGAGATTTAAACAAAAAAGAAACATGTGATCAGCCACTGGAAAATGCTTGGAAGCTGTGCTTGAGAAGGCAGCTGACAGGAAGGTAGTGTGTACACTGATTTATCTTCATCAGAAAGAGCTCACCATTTGGGATGAGGCTTGGACTGGGCAACAGGCAAAACTCAATAAGGGTTTGAGCAGCTAATGTCACGTGATAATATGGATGGACATGGAGCACTCCATAGTTCATCTTACTCAGGAGGAACATCACACTAGCTGGTCTATATGCCAGTGGATGCTGTTTGGTGCAACAGCTCTTAAAGACACTGAAATTGATGTCTGCCTGCATGCAAACTGTACTGGGCATGGACTTCAATATGCAGGTTGAAAGTGGACTTGCTGAAATGGTAGAGTGATACATCAAATGTCTGAACCCCCTCTTGCACCAACTTTCCTGCCAGCAGAGCCAGTGATGCCAAACATCACAATCAGTTATGAAGCTCTCAACCACAGAGAGGAGTCTGTGTCTGAAAATGCAACACGAAGCATCTTTGGCTGGTTGCGGGTTGAAGGGTACCCACCAGGGGAGATGAAAATACATGAGTGGGTCAGCATTGATGATTCTGATGATGGATGGTTGTCAGACACAGATTCAGGAGAGAGTCAAGCAGGTTTAAGAACTGACATGGAAGATTGGATTGGCCATAGCACCTAGATACCCTGGAATGAGCAGTGTTGGGTGTAGATAGCCACTTGCCTTGCACCCAATATATCAGTTGCTTTGTCATAAACACTTCTCCTGCATTTCATAGTCCCTCTCTGACAGATGCAGAATCTAGATGTTGGCTGCCTCCTTCAATCCAGGAAAACAGCTGGAAAATTCTGTCCCTGCCATGCAAGTAGATGGGAAAAAGAGAGAAAAAAGCGTGTTATGTACAAATGATTAAGGAACATTGAGCTCTGTCCTCATGATATTGCGCTAAGGATAAAAGGTGGGGCAAAAGAAGACCTTTTTGTCTCTGGTCTCTTGTCTTGGGGCCTGGCATTAGCACCAGGGCTTTTGTCATTAGAGGGCTTCCATGTATGTTGCGGATCAAGAGGATTGGTATTGAGAATTTGTTTGAGGGCTTGCATTAGCTGTGTGTTGGAGTTGCTTCTTGTCTTGATCATGGGAGGTCTCAGGGATAGGAGGGAGCTCTGGAGGAGAAGAAGGTGTGTTAGCAGGCTCAGTAACAAAAGGAACAGGCAAGGACTCAGTAGGTAAAGATGAGCTGCTAGGCCTAAGCTGCAGACCTCTATTCAATGCTGGCTGCAGTAGCAATGGTGTAGGGTCTGGTGTTTGGAGCTGTTGCTGCTCTGGCTGTGGTATTTGCTGGTGTTCTTGCTGCACAGGAGCTTTGTTTGTTGAATTCACCAGCTTCACATTCTCAAATAGATACATATTATACCATACTTCCATTTGGTGAGCCCCACACAGCAATGGTGACTGCCTGGCTTCTAGTCATCCATTCTCTTGTGGTCAAATTGATTGAGTGCGCGGCTTTCTAAAAAGATGCACAGACAGATGTTGAATAGTGCACTGTCACTCATGAAATCCACACCATCAGGATGGTAAAGCCTGGCCAGTCAGTGGTTTGGCAGGTCTTGTGACAGGTGCCAATGGAACCTGTTGTGGTTGCCACCATAATGTTAGTTGATTAGTCATTACATGGTTCAAGCTCCAGGTTGCCCATTCTTGTTCTTGTGTTCTCAACAGAGAAAGGTTTCCCCAGCCTTTATTTTCTTTAGCATCCACTATGCCCACTGCATCCAGTCTCATTATCTCCTGACAATAGACTGAACCTCATACCCAGCAATGGTCTCTGATTTTCTTACCAGCAGCTATCTGCAGTACAAAACAGATACCAATGCGGTAGCATCATGGCTGGCAACAATGGCCAGGAAGTGTGGCTACACACTTGGCATGCTGACAGCAAGCCCTGAACCTGCAAGCACTGACAACCTCCACAAACTGTCCAAATGACTCAAAGGCAAGGCAAGAAAGCAGGCATGTGCAGGCAAATCTTTCCAGGGTGCCTCAACTTCTATGAACTCCAAGCTTCCCATGCATATGATTGCTGTCAAAGAATTTGTCAGTTTTGCAGAGCATATTGCTGCTGTTACCAATCCTCCTGTCAATGTTCTGGTGAGCTTTGTGGCAGTCATAGCACGGGCCATTTCCATTTGACATGATCATGGGGGCCAGGTTGCTTCTCACCTTCCCAGGGACACCACCGGTAACATATCTTCATTACCCCTATGAAACAAAGTCCTGCATCCGCTCTTCGGCCCGTTCATTCTATCCACCTGCTTATTCAACTCCATTAAACCACTCATCTTCAAGAAGCTCTTTTGCTCTTGGTTTATCCCTGGGGTCCATCTTTATAATCCTCAAAATAAACTCCTTGTCCTCCATCTCATCATTGTTTTCTTCCAGCACAGAGGCAAAAGCCGCAAACTCCTTCTCTATCTCCCACCTGAAATAATGCACATCTCCTTGCTGCAGAGGGCGACTTTCATGGGTAGTACTGTTCTCAATTGATGTGACGCTATAAGGCAAGCATCATTGTGATTTTGAAGCTCTGGAAGCCATGTTGGAACCATGAATCAATATTCCTATGTCATTCTGTCTGTGACCTCAGCCTTGGAACCTTGGGAAGGCACATCAACACCTCCATCAACCTCTGCAACACAGGCAAATCATGACAACCATTTGAAGGCTAAAAGCAAAGAACATTCCAGCTTGTTGCCTCACACGCACTCACACGCCCTTTTCGCGTGAATATGAGTTGCGTTGACGAAAGGGGTTGATGGAGAAAAGGCAATGTTATTTGAATGTAGAAGTTCTATCAACCAAAGAATGTCATCTAACAAATCCACAAGGTGATCAAACCACCATAGAAAAATATTCTTTGAACAACTCCCTGGATTCTTTACAAAACTTGTCAAGATACTGAGAACTTCTAAGTGATACACCTAATTTCTTATGATGGTGCTCTTGATGGCCTTGATGAGGCCTGTCAAAAGCCAGTATTACAACACCGTCGCGAAAGTGAGCCACCACCATCAGATGGTGGAGTGATGGAAGAGACTGAGTGCCCTGACCATTGACAATCCTCATCAAAATGAAGAACTCAAAGTGGCCAAGGAAACGGACAATTGTAGGAGAAATAATGAGTCAAATTACTTCATTAAGGTGCAATCTCCTCTGCTGCCAAACTCCCTGTGCCGATCACCCGCAGCCATATTGATGCGGGTGCCGTGCAACTACAACACTATTCAGGCGAAGACCCTGAACAGGATCTGAGATATATGAGCTTCCTGTGTTTATCTAGGAGCTCATAAGTATAAGAGGAGGAAGCAGAGAACCTGATTGATCTTTATCCTGTCTTATCCTTATTATTCTTTGTGGTGTGAATGTCTATGAGCTCCGCATATGAAAAACAGTGTACTGTGATCAACAATTTTTCCCGTATTAATGCAGTTGTTCTGAGCCTCAGTCTCTTCATAATGGAGTTCTGATATTTGGGATTGTAATGCTTCAAGTGAAGAAATGTGGTGCCCAATAGTTGCCCTGGGGGGATATCAAAGTTTATGGCTGTGAGTGAAGAAAGGTGGCTATTCTTGGGGCGCAGGTTTGCCTCAGGGGCGACAATTGAAAATTGATGGCCCACTGGAAATGTGGTATCCTTAGGGCAAAAAGCTTGTCCTGGGGCGGCAAGCTGCCTTGGGACAGCTGAAATTGAGAGAAAAGGTAAGTGGCTGCACTAGGGCGACAAGCTGCCCTGGGGAGAGTCGGTGGCTATCACCAGGGCGAAAAGTTGCCTCAGGGGCTATTGAAGAAGGGCGCCTTTGTTGCTGAAATTGTGGCCTGCCTCAGTCAATTCAGAATCCTAGGGCCGAAAATGCCTCAGGAACTAGAAATGCCCCAAGGAAAGCCGTCTTTGTTGCTGAAATTGTGGCGTACCAGAAATGCCCCGAGGCCAAAAATGCCCCAGGGACTGAAAGTGCCCTGCGGCGTGCTCTGCCCTGCGGAATCAGCTGTTTCAGAATCCTGGGGCAAAAAATGCTAGAAATGCCCCAAGGCCAAAAATGCCCCAGGGACTGAAAGTGCCCTGCGGCGTGCTCTGCCCTGCGGAGAACCTTTGCCCTGGGGGAGCCTGAGAATCGTGGCCTTGAGCTCAAAATATGTGGCTGGAAATATTTTGCCCTGGGGAGCCTGAGAAATTCAAGAATTCTGGGGCCAAAATGCCCCAGGGACTGAAATGCCTTGAGAGCGCATGCTTGCCCTGAGGGGAACATCCTTGGTTGGAAACAAGTGGCTTGCCTCAGTAGTATCCTCTGCCCGCACACTTTGCAAGGAACAACATATGACCTGGAACAACAGATGTAAGTTCCAGGAAAAGGAGCTTGAGAGGATAGAAACAGCAAAAAGGAACCGACTCCAGTTTTACCCCACAACTCTTATGCAGCCGCCAATATCAAGTTCCAACTCCCGAGATGACAGTGCCCTTCCTGCACAGCGGAAGAGGCCAGCACCAACAGCAGGAGCCCTGCCTCGGATTGAGCGCAGGAGCCAACATCAAGGCCCCACATCCCAAGACACTCCGCCACAATACATGAATGTCTTCAGCATGCTTACACCTGAAGATGGTGATGCATTCATACCCACAGATAGCAATGCACTCACCCGCTCAGTCATGGAAAGAGAGAGGGAGAAAATCAGGGAACCCCGCACTGAAAATACATACAACACCAGAGCTCAATCTAGACTAGCCTCTGCCTCCGAGGAGCAGCAATCTGAGATCATGACTATTGACCCCAGCCTTATTGACCCACAGATCATGAGCTCTCAGCCCATGGTGATTGATGAGTAACAAGCCCAACATATCAATACTGCAGTACAACACTTGGAAATCCAAAGATGGAGTAATGGCTAGCCTCCTCAGAGATGAACAAGTCCTGGATTTTGACATTCTGGCCATTCAGGAGCCATGGAGAAACGCCTATCATAATACAACACACCACCCACACAGGCATCTCTTCAACCTTATATATCTGGATGACTCGGAAACAAGGGTCTGCACCTTTATCAGCCAGAAGATTTCAAAGACTAGGTGGACCACAACCCACCACTCCCCTGACTACATGACCATTACAATAACAAATGGAGCTAGAGAAGAAGACACCCTACACATTCATAACTTCTACAATCCTGTTGCTGCCACGGGACAGAGCAATATCTCACTCTTACATGAAGTGCTTACAGCGAGCCCAGAACAGAATCACATTGTGGTGGGCAACTTCAATCTCCATCATCCTCTCTGGGGCGGTGCTGGAACCCGCCAGGATCCCGAGTCTGAGGAACTGATACAACTCATGGGATTACACCAGCTCCAGTCTCTTCTACCACCAGGCTCTGTCACATACCAGAACCTTGGGGAGACAACAGTGGATCTTGCTCTGGGCACACCTTGGGTCCACGAGCGCAAGGTATTCTGTGGAGTACGTGAGGACCTCGACCACCAATCAGATCACCTGCCTATCGCAACAACAATCATGGTGGAAGTGGAGGCTGATATTGCCCCAGAAAAATGTTTATGGCAACAAATGGACAAGGACATCTTCAGGGTGACATTGGAAAGCACACTACCACAACCATCAGCCCTTCAAACAGAAGGGGAAATAGATCAACTCACAGAGCAGATAGTGAGCTGTATCACAAGAGCAATCGAGACCTCAACACCTAAGGCACGGCCGTGCGAGAGGTCCATGCCTGGATGGACACAAGAATGCAAGGATGCTGTCACTCAGGCGAGACGCCTCCGAAGGTGGTACAAACAAACACGGCTCCCAGAGGACTGGGAAGCATACTGCCAAGCACAAAATCATAAAGCACACCTCATACGGAAGACACTACACAATGCATACAGGGTGAATGTCCAGGAGACAGCAAGCACCCAGGAGGGTCTCTTCTGATTGGCGCGATGGGCACGCAATCGAGGACCCAGCCAGCCATACACACCACCGCTAAGAAAACAGGATGGGGAACTGGAACATGACCATCAGGCCAAGACTGAACTCTTCAAAGATGCCTTCTTTCCACCTCCTCCAGAGGTTGATCTCTCAGACATAGCAGGATACTCCTACCCAACAAGAGTTGAATTTCCACCTATTACAGAGGAAGAGATAGCTCGAACAATTTTGGCAATGGCGCCAAACAAAGCACCTGGTCAAGACAGAATACCTGTCCACATTCTTCGCCTAGCACTCCCACAACTGAAACTGATTCTCCTTTGACTCTACAATGCGAGCATAGATGCACAATATTGCCCAAAACACTTCCGGCAATCCATCACAGTGGTCATCCCCAAGCCAGGCAAAAAGGACCACAGTGAAGTCAAGGCATACTGACCCATAGCCCTCCTCAACACGCTAGGGAAAGCACTGGAGGCAATCATAGCTCAAAGAATAGCGCATGCAGTTGAAAAGTACCATCTGCTGCCAGATGAACATTTTGGAGGACGGAGGGGGGTGTCAACAGAGCATGCGCTCCACAGCTTGATCGAATGAGTCTATCAGGCATGGAGAGCGGGCCACGTGGTCAGCCTTCTTCTCCTAGATGTGTCTGGGGCGTACGACCATGTATCACACCTGAGACTACTCCACAACCTACGCAAGCGGCGCATTGACGAGCGCGTTGTTGGGTGGCTGGCTAGCTTTCTACGAAACAGGACAACATCAATTCGACTCTGTGAATATACATCCCCGACCATTGAAACGAGTGTCGGAATTCCTCAGGGGTCATGTATCTCGCCAATTCTCTACCTCTTCTACAGCAGTGACAATCTTACAAGCGCCCCTTATGGAATCACCGGGACCTCAGCCGGAGGATGGGTCGATGACACCTACTTTCTTGCCCATGGTGAGACCACAGAGGAGAACTGCAGAAAACTCACCCTCATGCACCACAGGGCAGAAAGATGGTCCACAACACACGGCTCCAGGTTTGATATCAAGAAATACAAGCTCATCCACCTCACTCGCCAACCCAGAAGCTACAACATGGAACAGACAGTAACACTGGGGGACACGACCATCAGACCCAGTGACGGAGTGAGGTATCTGGGAGTCCAGCTGGACCGGAGCTTGAGATGGAAACAGCATCTCAAGCATGTTGAGGAAAAAGCATCCTCTGTGTTGGCGGCTCTGGGCGCCATAGCTGCATCCACATGGGGGTCTAGCCTGATCTCGCTCCGCCAGGTCTACCTATCAATTGTTCTTCCCATCATCACATATGGCTGCTCAGTATGGTACACCCCACAAGGGGAAGAGGGCCACACAAAGGAAACCAGGGACTCATTGACCAGGATACAACTGCAGGCCGCCAGACTCATATCAGGTGCATACTGAGCTACATCAGGGCCAGCTCTCAACACAGAACTTTTCCTGCTACTAATATCTCTGCAGCTGGAGAAACGAGCTCTTCAAACTGCAGTAAACATCTGAACCGGCTTGCTTAATCCACAACCAGGCTACATCTACATAACCTCGACTCCAGCGAATTTTATAGTCTCGAGCACCGATCGTTGCTACATTCCTAGTCCCCTAGAAAAGCTCCACAATGCCTTGAGGAAGAGATTAGGTCAGGACATCCTTGGCAAGCTAGAGACCCGGGAACCGTATGCAACTGAACCCTGGTGGACACCTCCCACAATTGAGATCAACAAGGACCGTGAAGCTGCTGCACACCAACACAGAATAATCACTGATCAAGATAATCCACCACTTGCAATATACACTGACGGGAGCGGGATCAATGACAAGGTTGGGGCAGCAGCTGTGGCTCCTGCGCTCAACACATCCTTGTCACGCTTTCTGGGCAGGAGGACGGAGATGAATGTCTATGCTGCTGAATTAGCCAGGGTTCTAATGGGGCTTGAGATCGCTGTGAAGTCAAACCGGCAGGAAGTGGCAATATTCACGGATAATCAGGCAGCACTCATGTCAATACAGTCACCAAAATGACAGTCAGGTCAATTTATCATCAAGCGCATCATCAGAATGCTCACTAGGGCCAGGAAGTCAGGGATACAGATTAGCCTCCACTGGGTCCCGGCACACCAGGGAATAAAAGGAAACGAGCTTGCGGACAGACTGGCAAAAGAGGCTACTGGCTGGAGACAGACCTGTGACAGCCACAATAGAACTATGGAGATAGACACTGATAACACAGCCCCGAAGCCGCCGTATCTCCAAACCCTCAAATCATCAGCATCCAGCGAGATCAACCGACAAATGCAGCAGGAGTGGGCACACCAGTGGGTGACTGAGACCAGAGGCAGATCATCTTTCTCCCTGACTCCTACCCCTACACAGAACATACTCCAACTGCACTTGTCCATCAGCAAACCACTCAGTGCTCTAATTATTCAACTGCGGACCACAAAAATTGGCCTACGAGATTTCCTCCATCATAGAAATGTGCCAGGCTTCGATGACGGCATCTGCCAGTGCAGCAGAGGCAGTCAGACCGTACAACATATCCTTCTCACATGCCCTGTGTTCAATGGCCTCCGGAGGGAGGTATGGCAGGGAGAGCGCATGGACATAAAGGAAATCCTCAACACCCCCTCAAAGGCCAGAAAGGCAGCATATTTTATGATCCAAATGGGTCTGCTGGACCAATTTAAAACCGTGACCGACACCGACCAACCAAGGGACCAGGGACTTGTTCAATAACAATGCAGTTCCATCCCCTTACAAGATCCCCCATCGATGCAGCATGTTAAACAACACAGGACAAGAGACCTATTGGAAGGTATAAGGGTCTTATATACTGCCATACACACAGTGAAAAACACTTGCCAAGTTACGGAAATTGGGCAGCATCGGGAAGCCGACACTACCAAGCCTGGAAGGCTAGCATGGCTGAACCTTTGGGTACAGTGCACAGACAGGGAGAAAGGGTGCCATAGGCTAGGCATAAGATAGGGGAAGTCTTAGGCCAGCTTATGGTGCCGCTTTCTCAGAGCATACTATGTACATAGCCACATAATAGTTCTCACCGTCTGCATAGCTGCGGAAAGCGGCTGGATCGGATGTTAAATTGAATAGAAGAAGAAGAAGAAGAAGAAGTATCCTCTGCCCTATGGAATCAGGCAAGGCATGGGTTTCAGCTGGAAATACGCGGTCTGCCCCAGTAGTATCCTCTGCCCCATGGAATCAGATGTTTTTGAATGGAGTTTGTTTTTCTGAATCTTTGCTCTGGGGGGCTGTGACAGTTAGGGGTTTTGGATATGAAATAGGTGGTTTGCCCCTGGGGAGTTGGAAATTATGACCTTTGGCTTGAAATGCATGGCCTGGAATATTTTGCCCTGGGGAGCCAGGAAAGCTGTGGCTTTTGGTGTGAAAAGGTGGTTGCCCCAGGGGAGCCTGATAATTATCAGCTTTGCTTGGAAATACATTGCTTCAAAGCTTTGCCTGGAGAAGCCCAAAAAGTCATGGCTTATGTGAGAAATAGGTGGTTTGCCCTGGGGAGCCTGGAAAGTTGTGGCTTTTGTGTGAAATACATTGCTTCCAAGCCCTTGCCTCAGAGAGTCCTCAAAGTAGTGGCATTTGGTGTGAAATATGTGGCCTGGAATCCTTTGCCCTGAAGACCACATCATATTAATCTCTTTTCAAATGCCTGCCACAGACAGTCTCCAAGATGTGGCAGGTTCTGTTGTGAAATCAAGGCACAGGTGTAAGAACAGGTGTGGCATTGAAAAGAAGATTGAATTGAACATGAAGAATTTTGAGGGATGGAGTCTTGGATGGGGTTTTGCTGAATTATCAATCTCAACAGATCCCATTGGGATCTATCACTTCCAGATGATCCATCAAATAAGGACTTGGCTCTGTAGGCCCCACCACTCCCCATAGCTGCCAGAAAATTAGACAGTTTGCTTTAGAGAGCTGTACTGTATGGTTTTAGAAGTCAGAAAATCAAAAATGGTGGCCTTAGAAAGAGCCAGAAAGCCAGAAAGCCAGAAAGCCAGAAAGCCAGAAATCTAAAAGTACCCAATTGCATAGATTATTATAGCCATCAATACACACCCAATTAGAGATCATTCACCTGTCCAGTCACCCTTGCTAGTGCAACCTATTTTTGGCATCACAGTAGGCCACAAAAAGAGGGTGCCAGAAATGGCCTTTTCCATCTCCCAGGACTACAAAAAGAGGGTGCTAGAAGTAGTCTCTTCTATAGTCTAGATTCAGGCACCTGCTACATTCCTGTGTTCCAGTTCAACAACAGAATATTATTCCAGAGATGCCATCACAAAAGATTTCCAAAGTTATGAAGCTGTGTCAGTCCAACAATCAGTCAAGCTTGCAACAAAGTTGATGCTGCTTAAAAAAGACCCTGGTCAAAAAGCTATAGAAATATAATATTAAGTGTGGCAGTGATGTCTATCTTGTCATTACTGATCACATGAGTGATGATGTGGTTAGATTTTTTACTATAAAGTTCATGGTGCATCAACAGTTGACTGAAGATTTCCCATCTTCAGAAAAAAGTCTTGTATGCTGCTACAGTGCTTGTTCTTGAAAGATCTCTGCTGACAAATAATAGAACAGACATTATCCTCCTCTAAAGCAAATAACATCAGAAAATTATCTAAAGTCAGAAAAGCACTCAAGAGCTATAGAACAGGGCCAACATGTGATGAACCAAGAGACACAGAAGTCTTACAAACCAGATAAGTCAAAGTCAAAAGAGGTGGTTTCACCAACAAAGCAGCCTATTGGGCTGACTTAGAGAAATAGTTTGCAGAAACTGAACATCAGCTTTATAGACAAATCATACAAAATCTCAGTTCTGGAGTTTGCAGGCAATGGAGGCTTTGGTCTAGAAGCTTATATGAACAATAAATATATAAGAAGGCTTACATCTTCAGAAATAGTTTTTGATTGATCCTCTACTTCTCTGATTACTCTTATCTGCAGATGGCATACAATTATCACCCATCTGGTAATCTAATAAGAAGGCCTGTTTGGAGATCTTCAGGCTCTCTCATGTTCTGATCTTTCTGTTCTAAAGGCATTCTTGTTCTATCATTCCCACTCTGATATTATAATTCTGCATTGATCTGCATAAAGCATTCTCTTTCTAACACTCTCTAGCACTCTCTCAGTTTGACTCAGAAAGCAGGGACAGTATTATCTTTACTTTGTTCATCTACAGTGTAATTTTCTGGTAAAACCAATCTGAGAATTAGCTTAGAAATATACCTGGTTTAATCCAGGAAGCTCTATTCTAGTTCTTCCTGCATGCTAGAGTTCAAATCTTCAAACTTATCTTCAAGCTGTATATAGAAGAATTCCACATCTGATTTCTATTTCTCATTCTTGCTGGCAGTGTCTTTGGAGATCTCATTCTGGAACCAAATGATGTAATCTGTCTTTGTCATTCCTACTCCAATAATCTTGACTTCTTCAGTTGATGTATTCTTCTATAGGGTGTTTGTGATCTGAGTTCTAACTTCTTCTGCTGGAAGATATCTTGTGAGGGATTCTTTATTGTCTATGGTCTTGGAAGTCAGTACTGCACTGATGCAGATATATAGAGAGAGATCATTCTGCTTGTCTTTTGTCATTGTAGGTCCTGCAGTGGCCAGTAGAGGAATTGAGAGCTGGTCTTTGTTCTGTTGGCAGAGACAATTAATGCCCATGTTCACTGGTCTGATTTATGTAGCTGGGTTTTCAGAATAGCTATTTCATCTTTAAGACTTGCATTTTGCTTGATTAGCTCTTTCTGGTCTGCTTTTAGCTCTTTACAGCATGTTTTGAGAGCTTCCACTGTCTGACCTTGTTGTGCAATTGTTTCTTTCAGTTTGATTACCAGCCATGCAATTTCATCAAGTTTGCTTGGGTGTTCATTGCTATTGCCTGTGACTTCAATATCTGGGGTTCCATTTAGCCAGATGGCTGTGACAGAGTTGGTTTTCTTTCACTTGTGAGTCAATTTTTGTGTTTTTGGTTAGGTTGTGGTTGTTGAATTAAGGTTGATCCATGTTGCATCTTCAGTTTATGACTCAACACTCAGTTTGTTCACCACACTTTTCAACATCAACCAAGTCACCACCACCAGCAGGACCTGATCTATCTCTTCTTCAATATTTTCTGGCATCCTCCAATTGGTGGAATGGAAATCTCAAGGTTGGTTGGTTGGTTGGTTGGTTTATTCATTTATCCTGACCTCTCTCTCACTGGGATATGCAGGCTACCATGACTATGACTACTCTCGTCTATCTTTCTTGGTCTAATTATATGCACGATCTTGATGCCTTGTCAAGGCCTGTAGCTGTTCCCTTTAGTTGTCCCTGCCTTGGAAAATGGAAATCTCAAAGGTTTGGACCTGAAGGATGCCAAGAAAATAGTGTAATGTCTTATTTCTTGTGCATGATTCAATACTGGTTTGCAATCTTTTGCTGCTGCAATCCTGGGAGCAACACCTCTTTTCTGGGAAGTGTCTCTAATTCTGAGTATTCTCCAGGATCCAAAAAGTCTCCCCAGTGGAGAGATGCTTCCAGAGAGAGATGCGCTCTCTATCTTTCCCAGAATGAGGCTAAGCAATACAGAGGAATACTAGGAAGAGATTGCTAGGGGAGAATACTAGAGAGATATTGCTAGGGTAACATTGCTAGAGAGAGATTACTAGGGCGAGATTGCTAGGGTGAGATTGCTAGAGAGAGATTACTAGAGCAAGATTGCTAGAGCGAGATTGCTAGAGAGAGATTACTAAGGCAAGATTGCTAGGGCGAGATTGCTAGAGAGAGATTACTAGAGTGAGATTGCTAGGGCGAGATTGCTAGAGAGAGATTACTAGGGCAAGATTGCTAGGAAGATATTGCTAGAGTGAGATTACTAGGAAGAGATTGCTAGAGAGAGAGGCCTGTAATGTAATGGGAAAAGAGGTCTGAAATGGACCTCCTTTCCCAACCAATCAGCTTATTGTGCCAAGGCTCTAGTGCCCAGGCTCTCCATAAGAACCACAAAGGCAATAATAGGCTTGGCACTGGTTTTCCAACTCCATCTGGAGGCCAAGCCCTCCTTTACCAAACTGGTTTTGTCAAGCATGCATCATTCTTCATCAGCAACTGGTTAAAAGATATTCTTGCCATACTTCTTGGGCTTCCATAGCTCCTTACACTGCCTACACTAGTGGCAACTCTGAGTGGGCAGATTATCTCATGGCAGGCCACTTCTTTTTGCTGCCTGTTGGCTGAGAATCATCCACTTATTGCTGTTATCAAGCATCACTTGCAGAAGTTCTTGACTTCTTTAGTTCTTTTCTTTCAGCAATCAAACAGGTGCAGGCACAAGCAGTCATAAGTACTCTTCTCAATCACTGTAAGCCATGGCAGAGCAGCAAGCTGTACAAGAAGATCTCTCTTGTCCACCTGATATATGAGCAATGCTGCTCAGTTGATCTGTTTCTCCAGCAGTCTTTTACCTATTTTGATGCCTTCTATTGTTCTAGTGGTAATACTGTGATACAACCATCCTTCAAGCAAGGACTAGCCAGATGTGCTGGATTCAGCTTCCAGTCTCCAGCAGCCCTACACTATTTATACTAGTGGTGATTCTGAGCCACCTGAACACTTCTTTGAACTAGAAGATCTTGGCAGAAGCTTTCTCCAAAACTCATAAGTTTTAAGTGTCAAGCTGGTATTGCAAGGCACTGTATGGCTATACTATGAGCTATCACTGATATTCAGATGTGGAGGAGTAATTTTCCCTTCTAGCTCTGTGATAGCACTTTCAAAGGCATCTGGGAGATGTCCTTGTGAAGCCCTGTAATGACACCATGGAACCTTCATGTTTTTTAAACCATGGGAGAGGCGGTTGATGGAGTAGCCAATGAACAGAGACATCAGTAACTCAAGGAAAGTCAAACTGGTAAGCACCTTCACAAGAGCACCAAGTTGTGCGCAATCACAGTCAAAATCACATATCACTTTCAGGTGTGAGTTGAATAACAATTGTAGTTTTGTATACTTCTTCAGCCTTTCTTGAACTAGAGTTGATATCAATAATATGGTCCCTTCCCTCTGCTTGTTTATTGCATCTTCAAAAGTGTTAGTCAACAGCAACCTAAGTCCGGCCCTGCAACAGGTTTGAACTTATCAATATAGGAAGATGGAATTGGGAGGTCAGTAACTTCAAGATTAGTACACAGGCTAACTATAGCTTCTTGAGTAATTCCCCTAAGTTCATCAGGCCTGTTGAAGCAGCAATAAATTGCCATCAATTCAACAAGAGCACTAGAGGTGAGGCATCCAATATTATCTGGTTTCATGCTGTTGACCCAAACATCCAAAAATGGTAAAATGACTTCATGGAAATAGTACTTGTTGACAAGACAGGCAATCTGGGCCATTGTCCTCTGAGAGACTGTACGCGGCACGTTACTCATCTGAACATGACATATATTGAGTAAGATGGCCAGGGCTTCTGGATTGTTGTCAGGCAAGGGGATCTTCACACAACCAGTTGATTGAAGAGTGGCACTTTCCTGAAATTTCCCTTGCAGCATCTGCTTGAAGACCACAGAAGCCAGGCTCAGATGTTTTGAAGAAACCTGCATGTGGGTTTCTTGATGAGGAGCCTGCCAGGTACATATGCTAAGCTGAAGTCCCCATTCAATGCAATGCTTGCGTGATGTGAGATGTAGTATGTACCTGATTTTCATAGTCACTTGAGGTCCCTATTCAGCTATTGTTAGCTCCTCAGTTCCAACAATGGAATGCAGAACAGACCAGCCTGTGGTATAATCAGAATCACATCTCCATCAGGATCAAAGACTCTCTTTTCTGCCTGTTCTGTTTGGGCAGAGCTGTTGTCTTTAAGATTTCCCATATTTCTATTTCTTGTTGAACTATCCTTTCAGCACAAAGCCATGAACTGATGAAGCTGTCCGCCTGGAGATCGACCCCACTGTGGGTAAGTCAGAAGATTTTCTCATGAAGGTCTTGACAGGCGCCAAGGTTGAAAAAGCTCACTAATTATTCCCTTGTGAGTGTTTGGTTGGTTTGCATTGAACCTTCCAGAGCAACCCAGTTTCCCAAATACAAATACTATATGGAAATCAATTTCGCGCATTCTTGTTATATTTAGACCAGCGACTGAGACAAAATGGTAAACACAAAATGTGGGCAGGGTTGGATTATCAAGCTGATTTGGCAATCTACTATATCTTCTATTGCAGTACTGTAATACTGCTACACAACCATCAAAGCAAAAGAAGCTGCTCCGCACCTGAGCTGGGAAGTTTATCCAAGAGGATATGGAAGAAATAGAGGAGCTTGAAATGATAAATTGGCAAGAAGGAAGGATAACCTGGTGGGATTGCAATTGTCCTCTCAACCAGCTCCCAGTCTCCAGCAGAGGCAGAGAGTGTTATGAACTTCTTTGCAGAATACTTCTTCAACAACTTCTTCCTCCCAAGTATGTGGACTCTGCTGGATCTATCTCACATTTTGTTTCTGTGTTGCAGTCCACTTCTGTGTTGCAACCTACCTTTGAGGCATTTTTCCTTCCACTGAAAAACACTGCCCCATGTTATCTGGAGTGCATTCCAATACTGGCTTGCAATTTTTTTGCTGCTGAGATGAACAACCCCTCTTCCCTGGGCGTTTGGTGAGGTGCTGGATGTTGATGAAGTGATATTGGCAGGAAATTTGAAAGTGAACAAGAATGAAAGACCAAGTGTCATCACTAATCAATAATCAGAGGCCCTTGGTCCTTTTAGAGCTGCAGATATCAGACTGATGACCTCTGCCGCCTTTAGGCTGCTGTGGTCACTGGCTGAAAGGTTTTAGGCCCGAGCGGTCCATGGACCATGGACCATAGACTGGTTGGGATCTATGGCCACAGTCTTCAGCAAAATGGCATGGGCTTATGTGCATTAGCCCCCAGGGAGCTCCTCGTCCTCAGGGAGCTCGTCGTCCTCAGAACCTCCTCATCCTCAGGGAGCTCATCATCCTCAGAACCTCCTCATCCTCAGGGAGCTCGTCGTCCTCAGAACCTCCTCATTCTCAGGGAGCTCGTTGTCCTCAGGGAGCTCATCGTCCTCAGGGATCTCCTTGTCCTCAGGGAGCTCATCGTCCTCAGAACCTCCTCATCCTCAGGGAGCTTGTTGTCCTCAGGGAGCTCATCGTCCTCAGGGATCTCCTCATCCTCAGGGAGCTCGTCATCCTCAGAACCTCCTCATCCTCAGGGAGCTTGTTGTCCTCAGGGAGCTCATCATCCTCAGGGATCTCCTTGTCCTCAGGGAGCTCGTCGTCCTCAGAACCTCCTCATCCTCAGGGAGCTCGTTGTCCTCAGGGAGCTCATCGTCCTCAGGGATCTCCTCGTCCTCAGGGATCTCCTTGTCCTCAGGGATCTCCTCGTCCTCAGGGATCTCCTCATCCTCAGGGATCTCCTCATCCTCAGGGATCTCCTTGTCCTCAGGGATCTCCTTGTCCTCAGGGATCTCCTCGTCCTCAGGGATCTCCTCATCCTCAGGGATCTCCTTGTTCTCAGGGATCTCCTTGTCCTCAGGGATCTCCTTGTCCTCAGGGATCTCCTTGTCCTCAGGGATCTCCTTGTCCTCAGGGATCTCCTTGTTCTCAGGGATCTCCTCATCCTCAGGGATCTCCTCATCCTCAGGGATCTCCTTGTTCTCAAGGATCTCCTTGTCCTCAGGGATCTCCTCATCCTCAGGGATCTCCTCGTCCTCAGGGATCTCCTCGTCCTCAGGGATCTCCTTGTCCTCAGGGATCTCCTTGTCCTCAGGGATCTTCTCGTCCTCAGGGATCTCCTTGTCTTCAGGGAGCTCGTCGTCCTCAGGGAGCTCATCATCCTCAGGGAAGAGCTGCCCGGAGTCAAAAGCTACCCAGGGGCAGAAGCTGCCCGGAGTCAAAAGCTACCCGGAGGCAGAAGCTACCCGGAGGCAGAAGCTACCCAGAGGCAGAAGCTACCCAGAGGCAGAAGCTACCTGGAGGCAGAAGCTACCCGGAGGCAGAAGCTACCCGGGGTCAAAAGCTGCCCGGAGTCAAAAGAAATGCAAAAGTAGAGTGTTGTAGGTCAGCTGAAGTGCACTTCTGCATTTTGCAGGTCAGGTGTTCAAGGTTCGCTATAAAAGGCATGTTGCATTTAATCTATCGAGCTGAAGCTGTTCTCTCCATACGTTTATACGTTGGGAATGACTTAAGAGAAAGATGACTAAGCATAAAAAAGGAATGGAATAATAATATTCTAGGTTAGCATATGCAAATCTAGCAAAAGTCATTTGGAACTTTCGTCCATCATACTTTGTAACACTTTTTCCTGCAGTTTTTGGCGATATGACCTGGTTTTCCACAATTGAAACATAGCCCATTCAGTCTTTGTTCCTCATGAAGTCAATCTTCAGCCTGCTTTGCTCTCCTGAGCATACTATCCAGAGTATTTGACTATTGTTCTAGCTACGTACAATACATCTCAGATCCTAATCAGGATCTTTGTCTGAGATCAATAACTGCATCATTTGGCGGCCCTTGAGGTTGCACTGACTGGGAGTTCTGAACAAAGGGTCTCGGGGACCCTGCATGGATTGGTTGGCAGGGTTGGCTGTGACAGCCATATTCTGTAGGTCTTGAGCACTTTCCTGGCTTTGGGTAGTTTTCTGATGTTATTTGCTTTGCGGGAGGATAATGTCTGTTCTATTATTGATCAGCAGAGGTTTTATAGAGACAAGAACCATAGCATCATACAAGACTTTTTTCTGATAGTGGGAAGCCTTCAGTCAACTGTTGGTCCACCATGAACTTTGTGGTGAAAAATTGAACCACATCATCACCCATGTGATCCACAATGACAAGATAGACATCACTGCCACACTTAATATTATATTCCCATAGCTTTTTGACCAGAGTCTTCTTTAAGCAGCATTGACTTTGTTGCAAGCTTGACTGCTTGTTGGACTGATGTGGTTTTGTAACTCTGGAAATCTTGGGTGATTGCATCTTGGGGTAATATTCTGAGGCAATAGAGATTTGAAATGGAACGCAGAATGAAGCAGGAGCCTGAATTTAAGCCATGGGAGAGACCACTTCTAGCACCCTCTTTTTGTGGCCCTTGATGAAAGAGGCCACTTTTGGCGCCCTCTTTTTGTGGCCCACTGAGTGCCAAAAATGGCTTGCATTGAGATGGTGAATGATCTCTAATTGTGTGTATTTGGTGGCCATAATAATTAATGAGCAATTGGATACTTTTGAACTTCTGCATTTCTGCATTTCTGGCTTTCTGGCTTCATCAGCTTCTGTATAATTTGGTGCGGCACTTCTATTTCTAGTGGGTTCTTGGCGTCATTTCTGTGACATCCGGCACCCGAAATAGCCGGTGGATGCCAGGGCCATGTGAGTGCTTCGACCATAGGGCCCCTTTCGGCCTGTGGCCACTGTGGCTATGGGGCCCTTCGATCATAGGGTCCCTTTGACCCTGTGGTCTCCATAGCCATGTGGGTGCTTCAACCATATGGCTCCCTGGGCCCTGTAACCGCTATGGCTATGAGGTCCTTTGACCATATGGCCTCTTGGTCCCTGTGGCCGTCTAGTCCACAGGGTTCTTCAGCTGCATGGCCTGTTTGACCTCAAGGCCAAAGAAGCCATATGGTTGAAGAGCCTCATGGTCATGATGACCACAAGATTGGAGAGGCGTGTGGTCAAATGGCCCTGTGGCTATGTATGATGGCCATCGATTGGGGTATAAGATAAAGCTTCTTACACTTCCATGATGAGATTCATTGGCAGGCAGTATGACTAGGGAGGATCATGTAATTCAAAGTAAAGCCATGACTCTGACAGATTCTCGGGGCAAGAAATATTTTTGAGGCAGGCCACTCAAAACAGTTCTCATGGCCAAGTCTCGCCTCAAAGAGATAGCTTCAGCTTACATTTGAAGGCTGGTCAATGCCGGAGGGTCCATCGGGTCTGGAAAACTGAAAACTGCTTTGGTCGTAAATATAATGAGATAAGATGCAACGAAGCAACGGCAAATCAAACAAGATCTTAGCCACTGACGGTAATCAAATCTAGCTAGCCGCGAAGGGGAACTCCATGCACGCGAAGAGTATGATTCTTGAACTCCATGATGTTTGAAGGGATAAACTTGATTCCCCGTTCCCGGCAGATCCCACACAGCTTTTGCCCGGAAGAGTATGCCTCCAGCTCCTCGCGGTGGACGGTCACCTCGATATGGTTCCAGAGCTTGTTCCTGTACTTGCGTTCTCCCTTTTTAGCCACCCAGACCTTCATCCGTTCCTCCCAGGGAAGAGAGGTGTCGCACACGCAGAATGGACACTGCATGTCATCGAGCTTCTCCAGGACAGGTCCCTCCACCTGGACGACAACTGAGATAGGGGCAGGGTTTGGTTTTGGCTGGGACTGCTGCTTCTTGTGTCGCCCTCGACGCTGAGCCTCCCTCCGACGCTGCAGCCGAACCATCATGGTAATGGATTCACACCAGCGCTTGAAGCGCTCCTCCTCTGTCATTTCCAAGATGCCGGAGCACATCAGTTTAACAATCTCTCGCCGTTCTGGGAGCTGGAGATGTGGTGGCGGTGGCGGCTGCAGAGACGTGACTGTTGACAATTCTGCATCTCCTGAATAAATGTGCTGATTAAATCGGTCAGTGTCGGCATTGCGGAAGTGCCTCTTCCTTGCCTGCTCAAGGAGCTTGGAACGAAGGTATTCCTTGGCACTGTTCAGCCTCGAGCTCACATGCATCTTCCTCCTATATAGCGGAGTCTTGCCTTCGGCAGCTGACACCGAGGGGAATCCCATTGCAAGGATCCTCTTTGTCAGCCGCTGATTCTTCTTTGTCAGGGCTTGAATTAGGGGATTATTCCTGATAGCACTCTTTTGCTCATCAGAAAGTTCAGTCGGTGCAGCCTCGTCAGCTGTTAAAAGCAGACTGTGAGCTGCAGTCTGGACCACTTTGTTGGATGGGAGGCCCATGGTGGCGGCCTCGAGATCAAACCTAATGATGGTGTCCAGATAGTACCGGACTGCGTTTGACTCGTGATCAGCAACTTGATCCTGGACAGATGATGGTGCCTTGTCTATGGTAGACATGTCAGCGAAACTCTACTTGACCAGCGGTCAAAATAGAAGGGCAACAGAGCAATGGCAGAGAGAGAAGAAAAGAGTATTGCTCAGGAGTGCAGACCCAGGTGCTCAAGACAATAAGGCCAAGGAAAATGTAAGTAACATACTGTTAATAGTGTTGATAAGTGAATGTTGAAAGACATATTGAGTCAGATAATATTTCAATGCTGCCACCAGGCCAACATGTATAAGGTAGCGGGCCCATGTTGAAGCCTTCATGGGCTTTTTCTTCAATGTACGATAGCTGTTCGCTGTTTTTTCAGGTTCATGGAAGACTGGCAGATCAAGTTTATCTCTCCTGATCTTCAGTTGCATACCCTTAAGGTGAGATGGGATTGGATACCAGTAGATATCTTCAAACCGCGGGAAATCCGCCACAAAGATCTCATCATCGATCGCCAGGGAGAGAATGTGGCTAAGAAGGTCCAGTATTGGCTCAGGACTATGGCTTATGACAAAGGTTTTGCTATGCCAGTCAGTAAATTAAACCAAAAGAATCAGCAAGGGATAGGGCATTCCTTACACGCGCGGCTTATTATCTTCCCCCTTGGTATGGAGGAGGGTAACCTTTGCCAGGAGAATGTTCGGCCGTCCCTCCTCAGGGCTCCGGATGATATGGAATTCAATATGTCGCCAGAGAAGGGTCGCAGTTTTCTCCTCACTGGCATCATACTCATCATCAGTCACATCTTCAATAAAGTGATTGAGTTTACTCCTGTCTTCTTTGACAAGGTGGTTAAGTTCACCAATATCAACTTGTCCGGTAGAGCAATCAAGTTCGTCCATATAGCAATCGAGGTCGTTGATGTCGTCGGTGTTATAACCACTATCCACAAAACTAGCGATCGCCTCGGTATCAGTATCAACATCAGTCCCGCTGTCAGGCTCATTGACCGCGAAGGTGCCTGTGTCGCTGCTGGAACTGTCGTCCTCACTAGCATATCCAATGTCAGAGTCAGCATCATCACTGTCACTGTAGGCTCCCGGGTCACTGTCCTCGGCATTGTATGTAATGTCTTCACATGTGATCCCATCTTGTGTGGAGCGGCGAGTTCTATGCAACGTATTGATCCTTGGTCTTTTCATGTTGTAGGGTTCCCTGTCATCTTTGATGGGGGGCCTTTTGCTTCTTTTCAGCATGCTGGGCTGGTTTTGATGTCTGACTTCGGGTGCTGCCTTCGCGTGGGCGCCTCGGGGCCTTGTTTGGCGGTGATGACTGGTGACAGTGAGAGTGTTTGTATTTTTCTTCAAAGCAATCCCAAGATTGCCGGTGTCTGCCGGCTGTGATGATGATCCATTGGACCATCCCTCTCGTACATTCTCATCGTTCGCCTCGACCTGAGTGTCGAAGAGTGAGACCAGCCTGGACCCGGAGACGTAGGATAGAAGGATGCCAGTGGCAACATAGAGACATTGTTTCTCATCAGCATAGACTCTCGTACAGCGAGTCCAGTGGCCAATGAGAATGCGGTAGATGTTGTTCTTGTTGCCAGATGGCTTCCTCTTTGGTCGTCTGCGGAGCCCCATCAACCTGATAATACAGTTCTTATACTACAAAGTCCATCAGTTAGCCTCCAGTCAGAAACACGATCCCGGTGAACATAACATACATTTCTGCAGTCTCTTTGCATAGCCTCATCCATGCCAAAACCATGCTTATCCACATAGAGTGATTTCAGAACCCGCCAGTAACAGTCAAGGCTGGAAGCTGCTTTAACACTTTCCTGATGAGTCTCCCGGAACCAGTCAAGGAATGTCTTCACATGGGCGGGCGTCAAGTTCTCAATGTATTGATCTGGAGTCATCTGAAGTTCGGGATGCTTGGAGCAGAAGCTGGTGTTCAGGGAAAAGGTCAGAGAGAGTTGTTTATTTCACTGTGTAGGGGGTAGTACTGATCAAGCTTCTGCTGAACTGTTGCTTTGGACAGCTTGTAACAGTCAGAGTCATTATTGGGTGTGCGGCCTGCAGCCTGATGTGCCTCCAAGATATCCTTGTAGTTTGGCTTTTTGCATTGATTCTGTCAACATGCCATACGTGGTCCGGCAGCCCAGGGCGCTTTGCGCTTTCCAGATGTCATGTCTCTCAATCGGCGGATAAAATAGTTGCTGATATGCAGTAGACACAAAGGAGATTATAGAGATTGGATTTGAAAGCACATGGGGGAGAACCAACAGTGGAGACAGGAGAAAGTCTTCACTCATTAAGGATGAATATAAGGCAAAACGAGTGAGCCTTGGACGAACAGCAGAGATGGGAAGGACCACAGGTGAGGAAGATGGGAATCACCATCATCAGAGGGGAAGCAGTCATGGTGTTTATAGGCGGCGGCGGCTCCATCATGGATCCAGGTGGCTCCCATTTTGGCGCCAATATGAGCCCCTTTGGGGAGCGGTAGAATGCCATTCGGAATGGGGGTAAGACACACGAACAGGAACAGGCATAGTGTGGGCGGCTGGATCCCAACAGGGGTGACTGGGTGACTGGACTCAGAAGTGGTCGCGCGAGGAAGGGGTGAGCGCGAGGGTGAGCACGAGGGCGAGTGAGGGTGAGTGAGGGTGAGCGGAGGGTGAGGCAACGGGAAGACAGGGGACGCAGGTACCTGAGGGTACCTGAAGGTACTTTGAGTTACATAAAAGCGGCCACGGGGAAGTTCCTGATCAGGGCATGGTGGCCCGTGCGCCACGGTGTTGGGGCGTCCAGGCCAGATTCGGCCGTCAGAGCCCTCAAAGGTAGATTTTGTATGTAATAAAAATTAATTACAAAATCCAGATTTATTTCTTCTTTAGGCTTAGCTCTGTTTGCTGTGATATAATATTTTCACCAGCTTTACTGATAAATCTTCATATTTTCCTGTATTAACCTGTCATCTCTATTACACTCATGAATTGAGTGTAGGAATTTATTGCAAGAGCCTTTGTAAGCCTGTCAGCTTTATTTGCATTGCTTTCAACATGCTTGATCAAGATTTCATTCTTTTGTATCCAGTCTCTTAGCATATGATGCTGAATCTCAATATGACATGCTTTTCATATTATAGCTTCAGCTTTAGCTAAGTCAATGGCTTTCTTGTTGTCAATACTTAATTTTGAGCTTCTTAGTCTTGCTGAGCCTTCACTAATTACTCCAGCATCTATCAACAGATTATTGATTCAAACCAGTTCACAAGCAGCTTCACTAACTGCCAAATACTCTACTTCAGTCATTGATTTCAAGATGGACATCTGACACTGTGATCTCCACAATATTGGAGCTCCATTCATGGTAATAATATAGCTGCTGGTGGATTTGTATACAGGATCAGCTCCAGCTCAGTCAGAATTCAAACTGGCTGCCAGTTTCAAGCCTTCAGAATCCATATCTCTTTTAAAGACTATTTCTTTCAATTTTGTGCTCTTGAGATAGTATAAAATCTGCTTGAATATCATCCAGCTTTCCCTATTGAGCCTGCTGTTGAATCTTGCCAGATAATTAACTGCAAATATAATATTCAGTCTTGTACATGTAACTAGAAACTGTAGAGAGTCCAGACCTTTCCTGTAATTTATAGATGTAGTCTGCTTGTCAACTTCATTTTTGAGAGTCTGATCTGGTGTAAATTTGATGCTTATTTCTTTCTTTATTAATATTTTGAAAGGTTTGCAGTTTTCCATTCTATATTTGATTAGTAGATTCTTGATATACTGTTTCTGGTTCACAAAAAGATCTCTATTTAGCTGCTTTTAGATCTGTATATCTAGATAACAGCTCTGTTCTATAATCTTCTTGATCTTAAAGTATTTCTGAAGCTTCTTAATAAGTTATTCTGTTTTGGCTTTATTGAATTCTATTATACAGCAGTCATCAACATGTAGAGTTAGATAGATGTAAGGATTTGCTGTGAACCCCTTACATGGATGAACAGCACCCATGAAGGCCAGAGGCCTCAGCTTGCAAGCTGCTGGAAGTTGCATGTGTTCTTGTGAGGCACTAAGTCATGTGCTTGTGAGCACACATAAAAGGCTGTCACTGTGCAAATCTCTTGCTGGAAGCCAGTGGCAATCTTGTTTACAAGTCATACATAGTTGCCAGAATACAAATCTTTTACCTTGTGTACTCTTTTCCATGTATATTTCTTCTAGAGATTCATTGTCATACTGATTCACATGTACAATCCTCACATTTTGCCACTCTTCTTTGGTGACACCTGACAATGGTATCAACACAAAGAAGCCAACCCCCTGAAACTCGCGAACCTGAAACACCAGCTGAAAATCTATCTGAAGAACAAACCCAAGTTTATGAAGAGACAACCAATCTTGACACCTCACCTCTCTCAACTGTTGATGAAACAAGCACTGTAAACTCAGAGAGAGAGTCTATCCTGACACCAAAAGACAAAATCCAACAGCTTCGCGAGAAGACCAAGCTACTAAAGAAAATGGTGAAATGGCAAGAGAAGTTGAATGCTCTCCAGAACACCCAAAAGCACTTGTGAAGTGAATCTCTTGATATGGCCACCTCCAACCCAACACCCATGAAGTGTCTGTTGATCTTGAGACCACTACAACACACAAAGCACTACCAGACTGGAACCTACACAGAATATCACCAGTTCATCTCAGATATTGAATTCATTTGTGATGCAAGCAAACTGAATAATGAGGATACCCTTGTGTATGCCCTCACAGGACTTGATTATATTGAGAAAGACCTTTGGGAGGCCCACTGTGAAGGCAATCCATCAAAAAACAACTGGACTGGCCTTAAAGAATTTCTATGTGCAAGGCTAGAAGATCCAGCAAACCACACACAAAACTCTTGGTGAGCAATCTTTGGCCTTCACAAAAGTTTGGATGAAACTGATTATGCCTATCACCAACAATTTCTAGAGCTCACAACAGAGATTGGTGAAGAATTTGAAGATTCTGCAAAAATGAAGAAGAATCTATTTATATGGGGCTTGAATAAGTTCATGTGAACCAAACTGGATGAACAGCTGGAGATACCAGATGATATTAATGACATAGTAGCACTGGCTACCTGGCTCTGACCAAGTGTGTCAGTAGCCTATGCAAAGAATGCCTCACACACAAAGTCTACCAATCCAGTTGGAAGTGCTTGCAGAGGTATGAAGATCAATGACTCAAGGCTGCAAATAGATAAGAGAAGTTAACTCCAGAGGCCTGCTCAGAAGATGGGGAAGGACCTTACTAAGAATCACAAAGTCTTGAAAAAGAATGAAAGATGCTTTGAGTGTGGCCAAAAGAGCCACCTTGCAAAAGACTGTCTCAAGAAGAAGAAGAGTAGCAAATAGAAAGTTAGGGGGTCACAAGTAGATAGAATCAATATAATGAAGTTGTTCAAGAATAGTCTCCTTGCTCTCCCTCCTATTGTTCTAGATGTGTGAAGCCCAACTGACAGAAGTATTACCTGGTCAGCACTAATAGATTTGGGCTGTTAATCTCTAGTGATCAGTTTGTGATTAGCTGTGAAGCTAGACCTAGAGATGCACAAGATGCCTATAGAGATTGAAACTGCTATAAATCATGAGAATGTCACTCTTGTGGAAGGGATTGTGAATATATTCTTTGAAGTCTGTAACTCTCAGAAAAACTGGCAGTTGTTTCATGAACAAGTGATGGTTGCAAATATAAGAGATGAGATGCTAGTGAGTTTGAGCTGGCTGCAGCAACACAATCCCAAGATGTATTTCAAGAAACTAAGGCTAGAGTTCCAAACTGTGTGTTATGACCCACTTGCAAAGATTAAACCAGTTAACCTCTCAGAGCTTGTGGAAGAAGAGAAGTCTATCTATATGATGACTCTCTGCAAATCAGAACAGATGATGACAGCAGATCTAGACCTCCAGATACCAGAAGCCTATCACAAACTTGTGGAAGTGTTTAGTGACAAGAGAGCTTGGGAGCTGCCACTACACCATAAAGATGATTTGGCCATAGATCTTGAACCAGAGAAGCAGCCAGAATTTGGAAGAACATACAGACTTTCATAAGCTGAGCAAGAGGCTCTTTGTGAATATCTGAGCAGTGCTCTAACTTATGGGTTCATCTGGTCTTTCAAGTCATCTGCAGGAGCACCCATTCTGTTCACATTCAAGAAGAATGGTGAACTAAGAATGTGTGTGGACTATTGTGACCTGAATTCAAAAACAGTCAAGAATAGATATCCTCTACTACTGATTAAAGATGTGTTGTATAAGCTCATGGGAGCTGCAATATTCACTCAGTTGGATGTCAAGAATGCCTACCATAGACTGAGGATTCATAAAGAGAATGAGTGGAAGACTGCATTTTGAACTCCACAGAGGCTATTTGAGTACTTGGTAGTGCTCTTTGGACTTGTGAACACACTGGCAGCTTTCCAATCATATATTATGAAGGCACTTAGCAAATATCTGGATGTGTTTGTGGTGGCCTATCTTGATGATGTGGTTGTGTACTTGGCTTGTGAGAAGGACCATGAGAAGCATGTAAAATTAGTACTTAAGGCACTCAAGAATGCAGGCCTTTATTGCAAGCTGGCAAAGTGCAAGTTCAATGCTCACAAGATTGACTACCTTGGGTATGTCATAACATCAGAGAGTGTTCTTATGAAGAAGAGCTGCATGGACACTATTCTTGACTGGCCAGAGCTAACCAGTAAGAAAGAGATTCAGGTCTTCTTAGGATTTGTGAACTTTTACAGGTGCTTCATTCCAAGATTCTCTAAGATAGCCTGCAGCCTGACTGCTCTCCTAAAGAGAGGAGAAGCAAAGCTAAGCAGACACATGTGAAGAGAGATGAGGAGAGAAGCCAACACTTTCATGACTGAGAAAGATCACAAAGCCTTCATAAGTCTGAAAAGAGCATTTGCAGAAGCTGTTATGCTTCACTATTTTGATATGGAACAGAAGACCAGATTGGAAACAGATGCATCTGGCTTCACAGTGTGTGGTATTCTATTACAGCTGGTGAAGGATGGCATCTGGATTCCAGTTGGGTTTTATTTGTGGAAGATGCAACCTGTGAAGATGAACTACAGCATTCATGATCAGAAACTGCTTGTGATTGTGGAGTCATTTAGATATTGGTGCTGCTGGTTGGAAGGCTTGTGAACACCAGTTCAAGTTCTTACAGACCATGATAGCTTGCACTACTTCCAGACTGCTCAAGATCTCTTGTGAAGACAGGTCTGCTGGATGCAAAGGCTGACAGTCTTTTGGTTCACAGTTGACCATGTGAAAGAAACTAAGAATCCAGCAGATGAACTCTTGCAAAGACCTGACTATATCAAGAAGGCTGGTCTAGATGATAAGAAGGGTTGTAAGACTGCAAACCAACTAAAAGTAATGCTCACAAAGAAGCAAGAGATTACAGAAAAGTTGAAATCAACAGTCCAAGTTTCTCCAAACCAGAGAGAAGAGAGAGGAGATGAGAATGTGCAACTCACCTTCATGAAGCTTCAGATTGAGATCAAGAAACTACTTGTGAAGGTTGTCTTGGGAGACATGTGCAAAGTGAAGAAGATTGCAATGCAGGTTCAGAAGACCAAAGACCTGGTCTGTAAGAAGAATTCTTATGAAAAGAGCAGCTCCAACCTGTTGGCATTACTGCCAAATCTACTGCAAAGTGATGACTATACAGCTGAGGTCCATGAAGGCATTAAGACAGGTACAAAGAAATTTGTGATGTGAAAAGAGGAGAAGGGTATTCTCTATAGAGATAGTTGTGTGTACATCTCTCAGAATGAGACTCTGTGAATAGAGCTGATTAGACATTATCATGATCTACCCCTTGCAGGGCATTTTGCTACAGCAAGAATGTACAAGCTTATAGCTCACAAATACTTTTGGCCAAGAATGAGAGAACTGGTGAAGAAGTGTTGTGAAGTCTGTGGAGTCTGTCAGAGCTCAAGAAGAGTTCACAGAAAGTCCCAAGAAGAACTATCACTCTTACCAATTTCAAATTACTCTTGGGAATCTATTAGCATGGATGTTATTACAGATCTTCCTGCAAGTCTGAATTTTGAGAAGGTGCAGTTTGACTGTATTCTGGTTGTAGTGAACTGGTTCACAAAGATGGCTTACTTTATCCCTACAACAAAGAAGCTGACATCAGAGAAATTGGCCCATCTCTTTATTTGCAAGATAGTGAGATTGTACAGATTACCTGTAAGTATAGTAACAGATTGAGAATCTCTGTTCACAAGTGAATTTTGGGGTAATTTGACTTACATCTTGAAGATCACAAGAGCAATGAGTATGGCATTCCATCTGCAAACTGATGATCAGACTGAGAGACTGAATAGTGTACTGGAGCAGTACCTGCAAAGCTATATTAATTATGATCAAGATGACTGGATGATGTGGTTGCCAATGGCTGAGTTCACATACAATAACTCACAACAGACTTCCATACAGAAATCACCTTTCCAGCTGACATATGAATTGAATCCATAAACAGAATTCTTGAACCCTGATGAGTATAACTATGTGTGCAAGAATTCAAGAGATCAGGCAGAGACAATGAGATTGCTCCATGAAAAGATCAAGAAATTGCTTGTGAAGGCACAAGCCTACCAGAAGAAGTACTACAACCAGAAGCACACCACAAAGACCTTCCAGGTGAAAGACAAGATATGGCTCAACCTTCACAATATCAAGACCACATGGCCTAACAAAAAACTGGATTTGTTGAGGCATGGACCTTGTAGAATTATGGAGAAGATAGGCTTGTGAGCCTACAGACTGGAACTGCCTCCAGATCTGTAAACTTATAATATCTTTCATGTATTCCTGCTCTGTGAACACAAGACCCGCAAAGGAATTGATAGCTCATCTCATTATGAAGTTCACAAGATGAATGAGAATGAAAAGGAGTACCAGATCTGCAAGATAATTGACTTGAAGAGAGAGAGTCACAAGCTGTGGTACAGAGTATATTGAAAAGAATATGATAATAAGAAGAACAAGACATGAGTTTCTGTAAGCAATGTCTGTCCACTGAGAAAGCTACTCCAACAATTCTATAGTAGAAATCTGGACAAGCCTGGTTTGTGAAAGAGATGAATGGAGGTAGTGGAACTAGAAAATGAGTTAGAGAGAGAAAAGATATAGTCAAACTGAACTAAATTCAATTGATTTCAAAACAAAAGAAGAAAAAACTAAACTAAGACTATATAATTAGAGCCTCCAGCTCCTCCCATGAAGACCTGTAACAACTATCCATAATCTTACTGCTGGAAAGAGCAAGCAAGATGCCTATAGTATAGGCAGTTGTTATATTTTTGACCCAAGTCTGTGGAGATGCACTCTGTAAAGACTATATTGCTATAGCCTTGCTGAGCTCTCTTGCAGGTGAAGCACTTCTGTCCAGATGATGGCTGGACTCCAGCCTGAGTCACAAGAATTTTCTTGTGGAGCTGAGTGTACACAGTTAACTGGTTTGGATTATCCAAACCAGCAATAAGCACAGGTCTTTGGATAGGCTTGCAACACCATGCTCTTTCATGGGCAGACAAAGCTTGTGCCCCTGTATGGGGGGGGAGGCCTGGAAGGACCACCAGATTGACCTGTGATGCATCAGTAAAAGTAGTAGCTGGTGGCATTTGGGTGAAGGTGATCTGGAACCATCATTGTTGGTCTTACAGAGAGGGGTGCTGGGCAGTCTCAAGCATTCTGCAGAATTACAGCACCCACAAATCCTGCTGGTGCAGAGGGAACAACAATAACAATCTAAAGAAGGTTAGCTGCAAACTGAAATGTGATAGAGAATACTCACATTTCTGGCTGGAGCTGGAGCAACAACTGCAGAGAGGGGAGACAGAGCAGCAGAACCCTAACTTCATCAGCATGTGAACCAATATTAGCTTGTGAGAAGCACTTACAGCTTAAGCTGACATGGGGGGGGCAGCAACAACTGATGGAGGGGGGAGAGAGAGAACAACAACACTCTAGAACTGTCAGTTATGAACACTTTCCAAACTTCTTGCAACTACTCACTAAAGACTCAATCTCATCTGCAAAAAAGAGGGTGGGGGTCCTCTCAAGAGAGGAAAGCAGAGACAAGTCATAAGAGAGGGGGGAAGAGGACTGCATACCAGCAGCAACTGCTAGCAAGCATCAGTCTCTCTGCAAACCAAACCCCACACAAAAACAAAATCTAATGGCCACATGAAGCAAAGACACAACCAGAGGTGAACTCACCAGCTTGTGGCCTTTCAATCAATTGTGTGAAACATTAAAGTGAAGTTATTTTTCTTTCAGAACATCAGAGATCTTCTGTGAGCCTGTCTTCCATGTGAAGCAGTGCTTGAAGAGTTCACTTATCTTGATAATGATGATATAGGCTAGAGAAGAAAGAGAAGAAAAGAAGAGAAAGAAAAAGCAAGAGAAAGCTCTCTCTTAAGCTAGTGTTCATTATCTAATAGTGACACAGGGTTAGCAAGAACAATAGAGACTCTCTACATATTATTGTGTTATTGGGTTCTGTTGTGTTATTAGAGTTGTGTTGATATCACATCTCTAGTGAAGCTGTACTCTTTTTCTTATGAGGAAATTTTTATTTTTTCCAAGAGGTTTTTTATTTTTCTACTCATGAAGGTTTTTAACAAGACAGCTGTCTTGAGAGACCAAGGCTTACAAGAAGGAGGAATCTGTAAGAATTTGCTGTGAACCTCTTATATAGACAAACAGCACCTGTGAAGGCCAGAGGCCTCAGCTCACAAGCTGCTGAAAGTTGCATGTATCCTCACAAGACACTAAGTCATGTGCTTGCAAGCACATATAAAAGGCTGTCACTGTGCAAACCTCTTGCTGGAAGCCAGTGGCAATCTTGTTTACAAGTTGTACATAGTTGCCAGAATACAGACCTTTTATCTTGTGTACTCTTTTTCATGTATATTTCTTCTAGAGATTCATTGTCATGCTGATCCACATGTATGATCCTCACAATAGATTTGCTTTCTCTTGTGGTAGAGTAGGCCTATATTATATAAAGAGATCTGGAATTCTAGAGATTTCAGATAGTCAGTAGCTACTTGATATCAGAGTCTAGCAGCTTGCTTTAATCTGTAGAGTCTCTGGTATAAGAACTCTACTAGATTACCCTGTCTGTGCTTGAATCCAGTGAGTAGTTGAACATATACATATTCATTCTCTGGAAGAGTACTATTTAGAAAGACTGTCACAAAGTCAAAGACTCTGATCTTCCAGTTCTTAACTGTTAAGATAGCAAAGAAGACTCTTGTTATAGATTTACTGACAACTGTTGTATAGATTTTCTTGTAGTGAATATCTTCTTGCTGTTTAAATCTGCATACAACTTAACAGACTTTAAATTATACTGTACTATCTGTATTGTTAAGCTTTCTATTAAATACTCATTTACTAAAGAGAATCTGTATTGCAGATTTCTTTTTAACTAGAATTCAGATATCTTTCTCTTATAGTTTGAAGACTTTAATATTTAGAGTCTTCTTTTAATAAAGCTACTCTTCAGAGTATTTAACTTTGGTGATGGATTTTGGTATATCTGTATGTGTGCTGAGCACTGGAAGCTCAGCTTTATTTACTTCTTCTTTCTCCATAGTATCTGTAAGAATTTCTTGCTCTTTGCCCAGGTACATGAGCTCTAGAGTTTCTAATTTACTGTCTACAAGTTTCTTTATGATTTCTGACTTCTTCTTTACAAGATAAGCTAGTAGCTTGTGTTGCCAGCTGTTCAATAAATCTATATAATCATACTTCTCCAGAAGTTCAATGTATTTAGCTTTAGTTAGTAAATTTATAGAGATTTAATCCAATTTCTTGTTAAATATAACATCTTATGAGATCATTATACTATTTATTTCTGGGTCCCAAAGCCTGTAGGTATGCATGCCACAATATTTTATAAATTTGATCTTCTTGAATCTAGATTGAAGCTTCAAGAATTCATTCAAAATCTTTATATAGATGTTACATTCCCATCTATAAACTTATCTGCAATAGGATTAGTGATCTGTTCAGACTTTAAAGAGTATCAATGGCTTTGTGTTCTTGTATCTGTATAGAGGCACTGAGGTAGACAATAGATTTATTATTATGAAGACTGTAGTGAGAGCTTCACTTTATAACTTATTAAAAAGTTCTGAGTCTATAAGTATACTTCTTGTATGCTTGCAAAGAAGTTGTATTTCTTGTTAGCTGATTTCATCTTGTTAAGATATATATAGGCATATAATCTTCTGTTGTATACTCTTGCTTCTGTAGAATTCAGCCAGTTATTAACTTGTCAATTCAGAAGCTCTATTAGACAGTATAGTGCCAATCTTTCATTCAGTAGATGCTTTGATCATGTTGATCCAGTTCTTCAGAATTTCTGGAGCTTCTACCTGCTTCTTCAGAAGATAGATTCACCTGTATTATGTGGCATCATTTATTATAAGTAGGAAATACTTTGCTCTGCTGTAGCTTGAAGAATTAGAGTCTGTAGATAGAGTATAGCCATCACCTGTAATATTAATAAAAATTTTAGCTCCAGACTTTATAAAGTGTGTTCTAGATTCAAATGAATTGCAAGCTTGCTTAGCTTTAGTACAGATTTTACAGAACTCTAGCTTCTTTACTTCTTTTATTCACATTGCCATTCTTGAATCTCTAGCTAAAATAGCTATATTGTGAGCATTAAGATACTTCTAGTGTTTGTGCCAATTGACCATTGTATTCTTCTTGATTTCTGGCTTCTTTGCCAGATGATTTGATGCCAAAAGCATGTTATTGTCATCTTTATTCTCTAGAGTTGCTGTTACATAGCAGAGCTCTAGAAGTTTCATAGGTACTGAAAACACATATGCCAGTAAGTTGCATATTCTAGACATTTGTAGGACTAGAATATCATCTTTATTAAGTACAGCTTCAAAGCTCTGTATTTTATCTTCTGATTCTAGTAGAAAGACATGTTCTCTGTTAACACAAAGCTGTTCTACTGTAAAGCCATCTTGTATAAGCTTTCTAAAGCTTATGAGGTTAACCTGGAGATCAGACACAATTCTAATTTCTCCAATACTTAATTCACCATTGTCAGTTTAGATACTAGCTGTGCTGAATTCTCTGATAACTGATTTTAAACTATTTGTCATAAGTAGTTGTGTTGCATGGCTCTTTGAGTTCATTTGAACTAGATCTGTACATGAAATTATGTGGAATCCAGCTTTAGAGTCAAGAATTCATCTGTTTGTGAATTTACAGGCTTCTCTTATAGAAAAGACTGCTTTATGAACTGAATAAATCTTATCTGTTATAACTGTTGTTGCTTTCTTGCTTTTGTCTTTAGAGTCTTTCTTAGACTTATTAGACTTCATATTCTTGTTAGATCTGCAGAATTTAGCTAAATAATCAGATTTGCTACAGATATAGCAGTTTCAGTTTTACAGTAAGCTCTTTTCTGAATTAAATTCAGAGTTTGTATTCTTATAAGATCTTTAGAGATCTGAGCTTGTTATTGTATTTGTATTTAGTCTTGTAGATCTGCTGTCTTTCTTCTGATCTTTCTTGAGAATTTGATGAAGAATATTCTTCAATAGATTTTTCAAATTCTTCTCTAGTAGATTTGTTCTGCTCTGGCATGTTATATCAAATTAGTTCTGTATGAACTTTCTTCATTAAGATATAATATTCATCTTCAAAATATTATATAGGATGTGGTCCAGTTATTTGAACTCTAATCTCTCAAATTTTCTATAGATTACTAGAAATCTCTCTATATAATTTCTTTCTAAGCCAGTAAACTGTAATGTCATTCTCACTAACTCTATTAATAGACTTTCTCACTGTATCTCAGATCTCTCTTGAAAGGCTGTTCTTACAGCTTTCCAGAGTTTGTAAGTACTAAGACTATCTGATTTCTTAAAGTATTCTCTGGCTTGTGCAGATATTGTACTGTTAATTAGACTATATAGCTATTTATTCTGAATATTCCAGTATTGTGAAATCTTTAAGTTTTCTGACTGTAGTGAGATTTCTTGTCTTTTCAGGATAATCTTCTCAGTATCTACTTGATGAGCTATCTTTAGGATGGCTTTGCTCTATGCTAGATAGTTGCTGGCCCCAGCCAGGGTTATAGACTTCTTTACCATTTTCAAGATCTTCATGAATTAATTGATTGCTCTGCTGGTTTGTGTATTCATGTCTATAAGATTACTGATAAATTCTTCTAGTTTATCCTCAGAGTCTATTTCTTGATCCCCTTCTTGTTAAGCTTCTTGCTCCAGATTCTCCTGCACTGTTGCAGATGTATTTACTTGACCTGATAAGAGACTTACTTGCTGTGCCAGCTGTTATACTATTTTCTGTTGTTGCAGCATCATTTTGTACAATATTTGAAGTTCACTCTCCTCTCTAGACTCCTGCTCATCATTTAGCCAGTCACCTCTGAGCCTACTTGACTGCCTAAGCTTGATTTGAGGTATAGAAAGGTTCATCAGAGCCTTCTGGTCAGGGGTTTGGTGCTCTGATTTGTCTGTACAGTTCACCATGGCTTTAGTGTTGTCAGGTGCTTAATTTGCTTGCTAGGTGCATTTAGCAGATGTTTCACTCACTCTCTGATTGAGTGCCAGAAAGCTACAGGATTCAACTTGCTCTTTAGCTTGATGCCAGAAAGCTACAGAGATTTGCATGTATAGAAGGTGTCTACTTTGATGTATGCTCTCTTTAGTGCTTGTAAAATCTCATTATCTACAAGAATAACTGTTCAGGGTGTTGATTGTAAGCTTCAATATCCAATTAAGCTGTAAATCAATCTTATATGCTTGCTCTTCAGTGCAAAGGGCTATAACCTGATGGAGGACTTGTATGCTTGTCATCCGCTAAGCTACCTAAAGGGGAATCTCGGCTAATCTATGTGGGTCACGTGAGCGAGGTGCTAGTTGGATTACCTAACAAGATAACTTGGGATGGCGTCGGCGAATCTAAACGCCGAGACTGGAAGAGTTATTCCGTGCCTCGGCTGTTTGAGAGCTCTCAGCGGAGTCGCCGTCTTGTTAGCGAGCGGGAGTCGGTCCCTTTAACACTCGACCTTTCCCCCAACACCAACCCGAGGGCATCTCAATTCAGCTTCATCACTTGTTCAGTGCATTCCCAATTTTTCTCTGTTGATACAATGGATTCGTCATCGCTTTTCGACGTCAAGGTAAGCAGTTCCTTCCATCCTTACCTGATGATCTGCCCCCGCTCACCCTGGGACAGGGCAAAGTTGTGCTGGTCACCGGCGGCGCCAAAGGCATTGGCCGTATGATCTCTGAGGGCTACGTTGCCAACGGTGCCACCGTGTATATCACCGCTCGTGACCTTGCTGCGTGTGAGAAAGCCTGCGCTGAGCTCAATGCCCTGGGGAAAGGCAAGGCCCATGCTATCCGCGCCGATTTCTACAAGGAAGAAGACTGCAAGAGACTGTTCGAGGAGTTTTCTAAGAGAGAAGATAGTAGGTCCTTTCTATTAGCTCCGTCTTGGGGTTTTCCGTGCTCACGATCCCTCAGAACTACATGTGCTAGTGAACAACGCCGGTTCCAACTGGGGCGCACCATACGATGAATATCCCTCTTCTGCCTGGACACGTGTGCTGACGCTCAACCTCCACCGTGTTTTCATGGTCACTCAGCTCTTCACACCATTGCTCGAGAAGGCAGCGAAGCCCTTGGATCCCGCCAGAATCATCAACATTGGAAGCATTGACGGTCTCCGTGTTCCCTCCCTCGAGACATTCGCATATAGCTCCAGCAAGGCAGGCTTGCACCATCTTAGCCGCGTGTTGGCCCACCATTTGGGCCAGAGAAATATTACGTGAGTATCCCCGGAATAGCTGTATGACAATAAAAGTTACAACTGAGTGAAAGCTAACTCTTTCTAGATCCAACACCCTCGCCTGCGGCCCGTTCGAGAGCAAAATGATGGCAGCTACGCTAAAGAGATTCAAGGACTCGATCGAAGCTGGTATCCCACTGCATCGTATCGGCACTCCTGAGGACGTTGCTGGAGCTTGTCTGTTCCTAAGTAGCCGTGCCGGCTCATATATTAACGGAGCAACAATAACGGTGGATGGGGGTAGCGCTATTGCGGCGAAGCTCTAATTTGATACTATTCATGATATTATTACCATATGTACGATTCCAATATATAACGGGGCTTTTTTTGATATTGTTTTCTGCTCTCCTTCCAGTCCACGGTCCAAAAAACTTAACCGTGAAGAGGGCAAAGTCAAATACGTTAAGTTTGCTTGCTATTTTCCCGTTTTAACTTAATACATACCAAAGAGAGGCGAGTATCGAGTGGCGACTTGCGATGTTGCCAATAAGTCGCAGGTACTTAACTATATGTGAAGCTGTCTGGCCAGCAGCAACGAGGCCAAAACCCGGCCATGCACGGGGTGGCTTGACTACCCGAAGGGCGGTCAAGTTTTGACTAGAACTCCTCCCTCTTGATCGTGCGCGTGTAACTGGCGAATTCCAGCGAGCAGGGCCCGTGATTTGCCACAGAAAAGCGCAAGAGCACCTCTATAGGCTGTATGGGGATGCACTCATTCAGAGTTACCCTTTTTCGACGCTCTTTTGGTAACTACTAAGCTCTCATTTTGCGACGTGACCTGAGACCTCTTCCAAGCCGCTTTAAATCAAGAACACCATGCAACCCCCATCCATTCTTTTCAATCTCAATGCTTTTCGCACATTCGCCCAGCTATGGCCGGGCACCAAAACTCCCTGCACATAGCTGAATGCACCGTAGTTCAAGACAAGGGGGTCGGCCGCCGCGATGGAGTTGATGTGATCTGCAAAATGAAGCATGACGTGCTCCAGGCTGGGGCAGAGGCCAGTCAGGGCGCTCCCATCGAATCCTTAAGGGAATGGCGAACTCACAGCATCTCACCGCCCCAGCTAGCTTAGCATCGCTTACTCCAATTCAAGTAGTAAGCTACAAGGATGGCATAAGCCAGGATAGCGTGAGCCAGGGTGGCATAAGCTACAAGGATCAACAGCTCCTCCGATCAAGATACTCCGTACGGAGTAGATGGAGAAGAATTTCGGCGATGATAGATCAAAGATTTACATGTAACTACTCCCGAGTTGCGAAAGCAGCGATATGCGCCTTACCCGATTTGGGAGACGCTAAACTATATTAGGAAATTCCCCAAAGATGCGGTATACCTTCTATAGTCAAGAGGGAACCTGGATTTTCCCAAAATACTCTATTGGCACTAGTCCCGGAGGAGTGCTGGTGATGGAGGACTCGTATGTGTTGGAGCATGGAAATCTAATCTTCGTTGTGCTGCTACAAAAGCGGCTAGCGAGATCTCATCTCTTATGGTGAGATGGAGCTTGGCAGCAGAAAAGAGTCAGATCAAGAGTGATCACATGAGATCACATGTGTGCTAAACCCAAAAGGGTTTAAGGATATGTATCAGATGTGTATGGCTGAGTTAATACTCTAGAAGTTTGGAATACTAACCTCGTGTCCAAGGCCTTGACCTGCTGGGTAGTGAGTGTACATTGTGCGATGTGCCAGTTGATGGTTCGAAGGCTGAAGCGGGGATGTATGTATGTCAGCCAATCAGTCTTCACAAGGATGTACTACTCCGTAGATGAAGTAAAAATGCGTACACACTTGGACATGGGCTGAGAAGGCGCAAAAGATGGCTCTGGCATGGTAGCTGGAATCATAATCTGGGAGGATAGTTGCTGGCCATAACCCTAGGTTGAAACGAGGGTAAGCATGATGGGTGGATAGATCTCGGGTTTGAAGGGAAATACCTCAACCCAGAAAGGCCGCTGGAAATCAATATCCTTATGGCGAACAACTTTGCCGTCCTGAATCCATTTAAACCGTCCTGGGAGCTCTTTTGTATGATACAGGTTGATAGCAGTCTGGAGGTTTAGCTTTTGTGGTTCATCAGTGGCAGGGTTGTTGATCATGGCCTGCAACTCTGCAATACGGCCTGGCACATCCCACTGGATGGGGTTGGGGAATGTAGGCAGCGGCTTGAAAGGGCGCGACATGGCTTGCGAGATAGAGATGGAGACGAGATGGTGGTGGTGAAGGGTGAGGATGGGGGAAGAACCATTTGCGGTGGTTGAATGCGAGTGGGGTTGAAACTAAGAGATGACTCCTGGCCACTCAAAAAGACCTGGGGCACGTGACTCAGGGCAAAACTGTTTTATCCAACTACTCCGTAGTTAACTTTTTGGATTTACCAATCTCTCTGATGCCTTTTTCAGCCAATCCACTGGTAACACGTGATCTCGCCCTTCTGCCACGGCCCGCCACTGTTACAACCACCACGCATTCTGAACACTGATTTCGCATCATCACCCACCATACAATCACCCAGCTCACCCACCACCCATCTAGCATTTCATAACAGCACCGAAAATGGCTCCATGGGCAGCCACCAGCTCACCCAGGCCACATAGTATTGAGTGGTTGAAGAATGTAAGAAAGACTTAAGATCATGATGATAGGTGTGGTCCACATTGAGTATAACCTCAATGGCCATCAAAAAACAAGGTACACATGGCACCCATTGGGCTCTTGATGTTCAAACAAATTAACTAATGTTGAGATGTAAGTGTAGCCTGGGTGTGAAGGATCTGCATCTTGCAGATGCTCAAGTATCTCATACTTATAGATATTCTTTAGCTTTCTGTAACACTCTGTGCTCAAAATCTTTAATGCCCTGAAGTTGCACTCTCTGGATGCACTTATAAGTAGTTGTATAATTAATGAATGAAGGAAACTTACTCTGTATTTTGAACAAGCCACACAGTCAAATATCTCTCTAAGTCAAGTTTTCTCAGATTATTGTTGTCTTTGTATTTGCTGGGCAGAGTTTCTGATTTGAATTCATTGGATTGATATGAGATAGCAGGGGTAGATGGTGTTGAAAATTCAGTTCCATTCTGAGGTCTTGACATGGACTTTTGGAAGGTTTACACAAAGGGCTGGGGATTTTTTCTTTAATAAGGATTACACACTCCCTTCATGTTCCTTTATATGCTTCATCTGATCTTCAGAGACAAGCACTCTTAAAGTGGCTGCCTCTTCACACTGAATCCGGGCCTTGTGCTAGAAGGGTAATTCTCTTGAATCCAGATCTTCCTTTGGCTTTTGTGAGTAGACACGACGGGGTGGAGTCGGGCTACTTACATCATAGCAGCGATCAGGTGCCTCATAACTTACCTCCGAAGGGTATTTTAAATTCTACAAAGTGAATTGTCAGCGACCAAGAGATAAAAAATCTGGAAAGCCTTCCTGTGGTAAGCTCTCCCAAAAATCCTGCTTTGTCTCAAATCATTCTTCTTCGCCGTTTATCTAATCGAAAAGCAAAGCAAAAAAAAAAAAAAAAAAGAAAAAGGCCCCGAAATCACTAGCCAGGTTATCATCGGCCTTGCCAGAGACCTCCAGGCTGGTTGGCTGTAACGGCTGAACGTCACACCTTGGCGGCTTGACTCTGTCATACTACGAGTGACATCCACAAATACCTTGCACCCGGCCCATCTTCTCCACCTTTTCAAGGGTGAGCTCATTTCCTCCACGGTCTTCGGACGTAGCAGGCAAAGTCTTGCATTTGCCTGTGTTCGAAGTTCTCGTTCAACCTCCCCGCCGACCATCTTCTCCCTAGCACGTTGACCTCCAGCTCCATTCGTACCTCAGACCTTGAACTCGAACACCCGGCGGTACATTAATATCGCTAAAACAGCAAACTGCAGTCCGTCGTGTAGGATGAACTCGTCATATGCGAGTTCAAGGCATTCTCGGTCGAGCTCTGACGGTATTGATCCATTCTCCGATCCTGACATCTACTACGGCGGAAACGAGAGCATTGTGGGACAGCATGCTCGGACTCACAAGCGGGCACACTCATCGGTTAGTCTCAATTTCTCTTAAGGCCGCTTGCAACTCTGCATGATGCATCGATCAGGCTCTCTTGCTTACAGCTCGTCTTTAGTCTTTGAAGAGGTTTGATTTTACAGAGATAAGTGCTTTTATCGGCAGGAGATCTAGTCACGGTGGGTTACCGCTGAATTCCTTCTTGAATGGCTTGAGATTCGTCTTTGCAAATTAGTGCTAACGTACTTTCTAACTGTAGATGAGGTTTCTCATCCCCGAAGGTTCCTCATCGACGTCGATGCGACATTGGAGGCATTGCTTGAAAGGGAAGATACGGACAGAAATATGCAGATAACAATTGAGGATGAGGGGCCGAAGGTATTGCCATTGAAATGGCTATAATGCTTTCAAATACAAAGATCTAATCGCTGTGTTATCTAGGTGTTCTCTGTCGGTACTGCCGCCTCGTCCGGCTTCAACAGATTTGATTTGAGGGGCACCTATATGCTTTCGAACCTCCTCCAAGAGCTAACCATCGCGAAGGACTATGGGCGAAAACATATTGTTCTCGATGAGCAGCGCTTGAATGAAAATCCCGTTAGCCGCTTGTCTCGGCTAATCAATAATTCGTTCTGGAAAGCTCTCACGCGACGTATTGACGGCTCTAATATTGATGTTGTTGGGAGAGATCCGAAGGATTGGACGGATGACCCGCGACCTCGGATATACGTACCTCCAGGAGCGCCGGAGCAGTATGAATATTATAAAAAGATCGCAGAATCACAACCTGAATTGCGTTTGGATGTTCAGCTTCTTCCGCCGGAAGAAGAGATTACCGCTGAATTTGTGAGGGACTTGAACAATAAGCCCGGGCTTTTGGCACTGGCAATGGAGGAATATGTCGACCCGGTCACTGGAAAACTCGATTTGAGAGGCGTGCCGTATGTGGTCCCTGGCGGACGATTCAATGAATTGTACGGATGGGATAGCTACATGGAATCCCTTGGGCTTCTCGTATCCGACAGGGTTGATCTGGCGAAAAGTATGGTCATAAACTTCTGCTTTTGCATCAAGCATTACGGGAAGATCCTCAACGCCAACCGATCATATTATCTTTGCCGATCTCAGCCTCCGTTTCTCACAGACATGGCATTGAGAGTCTATGAACGTATTAAACCGGAGCCAGATTCACTAGAGTTTCTTCGCCATGCTATGCTATCTGCGATTAAAGAGTATCATAGTATCTGGATGTCCGAGCCGAGACTTGATCCTGATACGGGGCTATCGAGATACCGTCCGGGCGGCATTGGTGTTCCGCCAGAGACCGAGCCGACTCATTTTTATCATATTTTAACCCCTTATGCTGAGAAACACGGCATGACTTTTGATCAGTTTGTCCAGGCATATAACAGCGGAGAGATTAAGGTTCCAGACTTGGATGAGTATTTCCTGCATGATCGAGCAGTCCGAGAGTCGGGACACGACACTTCATACCGCCTTGAAAAGGTATGCGCCAACCTAGCGACAGTTGACCTTAATTGCCTATTATATAAATACGAAGTCGACATCGCCCGGACAATCCGCGATTTCTTTAAGGACAAACTATATATTCCCCCCGAGTTCCGTGCAAAGGGGAATGAGGCAAGGGAATTTGAGTCATCTGCACTATGGGATCGTCGTGCAAAGCGAAGAAAGGCGCTTATCGACAAGTACATGTGGAATGAAGAGAAGGGCATGTACTTCGACTATGACACCGTCAAAAAGGAGATGACTTCCTACGAAAGCGCAACCACTTTCTGGACCATGTGGGCCGGCGTTGCAACCCCTCGACAAGCGTCGATACTTGTCAGCAAAGCTCTTCCCCTATTCCGAGCATACGGTGGCCTTGTGTCGGGAACGGAAGAGTCGAGAGGTGTCGTTGGTATTGACCGTCCCAACCGCCAATGGGATTATCCATATGGTTGGGCACCGCAGCAGATGCTCGCGTGGACGGGACTTTTACGTTACGGATATCAAGACGAAGCTGAAGGACTAGCGTATAGATGGCTGTACATGATCACCAAAGCGTTTGTGGACTTCAACGGTGCAGTTGTAGAGAAATATGACGTTACGAGGCCAATTGATCCGCATCGTGTGGATGCCGAGTATGGGAATCAGGGAAGTGACTTCAAGGGTGTCTCAAGAGAAGGGTAAGTAATCCACTTCTAACGGACCTTTGTGATTTCCCGCTTACCGCTCTTGTAGGTTCGGTTGGGTCAACGCAAGTTTTGTCTACGGACTCCAGTTTCTAAATGCTCATATGAGACGTGCACTTGGTGCTTGTACACCATACGAAACCTTTATCAAAGCAACGGCATTTCAATACTAGTGTATGAAAACGGCCTGAAAATAGCAACATAAGTAAACCTTTTTTTTTTTAAAAAAAAAAAAAAAAAAAAAAAAAAAAAAGCCCCTCATGTATTTAGAGAAGATAAAGCGAAATCGAAGTCTATGTGCGGCCGTGTGGAATAGCCAAACAGGGAGAGTGTGGGTTTCGCTGGCTACTAAGCACCCAGCTTTTTTATATTGTTTTTTTGATATGGTCCTCTACTACGGGTAATTGCCGTGGGGCAATTGTTTCTCAATTGCTTCAACTTCCACAGTTACTTGAAATGTCTTCTCTCTCTCCCCATCCTCTTCTATGATGCAACTCTACCGAGGTTCAAAGGAACTGCAAATATGCTTGTGTTTAACCATGATTCAGACTTTTACCTGCGTACCGATGTCTAAATCGTGTTATACAAAGGAATATTCCGCCTCTTATATCCAAGCCACTTCGGCAGAATCCGCCAATACTGGGTGCCAGAACTAATCGGAAGATCCTCGATTGCGCTCGCGTATTTGATCAACTTCGCTTCCGAGAATGCAGTGCTCATGATTGCCAATCCATACGGCACACCAGACTCGGCGTTCTCCCCGAGATCATCGGATATGCGGCCTGAGCGGGCATCATCCAAGTTTGCCCGACGTTTGTTGGTACGAGAAGACCGTCCAAATAGCGGTCACGATGGCGTAGAGCGTCGTCGATACCATTATGAGATCATTTTAAATGCCTTTGGTAGCGACGCAAGAAGGCTGTCTTGTCCAGCTAGCCAGGCGGGATGGCTATCGGGATGTCTGCTTTTGGTTCCGTCGTCGTTATAGTTATATTCAACAATATCTTCGAGGGACCGAGTATTCGTATTCTCCGGTTCAGAAAGATAGGCCCGAAGGTCGTTGTAGAAATCCACCTTCATGATCATATACTTAGATTCGTTTGCATATCCGCATTTGGTTCCCCATTCCCAGTCCTATCCATCCGGAGGAATAATCCTCTCATAATCGGTAATTTCTGTGCCGCTGACGATGGTAGCAACCGCACCTTTAATCAGATCGACGAGCTCCAGAAGCTGAGCGATTTGAGCGGAATCTCCAATCCCCAGTAAGAATTCCAAGGTATTCCAAATGCAGCGCCCTTGAGCGCAGATTTATCTGTCAAGAATTGGGAATACCCGCCCTCTCCGGGCGTCTTCCCCTTCTTTACCAGTGTATAATTATTCCGTCTGTCAATACCATAGATTGCATCCAATACATGTGTGGCGTCGCGAACTGTCCTTTCCCAACGTTCCCACCAAGTTGATTGCCGGATATCGGTATTACACCTGAACGGGATGTCAGGCTAACAGTGGGCTTGGTGCCAACAGTAGAATTTCTTTCCGCGGGTTGGACAACTATTCCACATATCAGCAAATTTCCATATTATGATTGTATATCTCTAACAGATAGCATAATTGCCACTTCCGTCGGTCTCAGTGTCCAATGCGAAAGGCGCCTGATTAATAGATACCGCAATCGCAGAGCCTGAGCTGCTTCCACCAGGGTATACAGTGAAATTATAGCACTGCGACCTTGTCCTCCAAAGGCGGCATATCCCTGAGAATAATCCATCTTGCGAATCTCGGCCCATTCGCTCATTCCGGCTTTTGCAAGTAGCAACGCGCCAGCCTTGCGCGATTTATGAACTATGTAGGCATCGCGAGGGACAACACTGCCTTGCAGCGCCCAGCTGCCAGCCGTTGTTTCTATGCGGTCCTTAGTGATTAAGGAAAAAAGGAATCCCATGGAGAGGGCCACGAGTTCGTCCGTTGACGCGGTCTTTGTCCAGAGCTTGGAATGGAAATCCATACTTCACGTAACCGTCTGTTCGATAGATCCTTTCCATATAACACTTGACAAGCTTAATGCTGGTGAGATTTCCTGATGACAGCAGCTCTTACACCTTGTCAACGGTCGCCTGTTCCAATTTGGATCCATAACAGAGCTGCATCGGAAACAGTGAAGCCTCATCGCTATTCTGTTTTGGAAAATGGTAAAGGTATGGGGATATGGGTCCTTGAGGATCTGCGAATCCACTAATTTGTCGACATCATCATCGCGAGTAGCGACCCGATGGCAGGCAAATATCAGAATCGCCGTCGAAATCGTCCGCCATAGCATCGTGGGGACAGAGGACAATCTTATGAGAGAAAGGCCTGCACTGGAGAGGATGCCCGGTATTTCGAGACAGTCTCAAACAAGTTATTTATGTACCTCCTTTGTGGTTAATTGGTGCAAGTGCTGATCGGCACCCATAAAGGCCTGAGTGAATATTTCCTGCTTCTAGGATGGCGGAGTCTTGCCCAGGAGAATACCAGCAGGGGCCAGGATGTATAGTTATGTAAAGACGGGGAATAGGGCACCAAGGAGAGAATCCACCCGCATCAACCAACATGTAGCTGTTTGTCAAGGGTACTAAAAATGTGTGATCCTTCCCCCATTCGTTCATTTAGAACCGTATTTTGTCCTCTTCTGGCGAAGGTTAAGAACTCTAAGCATGATATCCATTCCTCTGTGGCCGAATGATATGGAGAGTCAAGCTGCTGCTTACCCTTGGGACATGCTGATGAGTTAGTTGACTCGTTATCCCGGAAATGACATGGTTGCAATTAATTAAGCAACAGATAATACCCCGACAAGAGTTTGCAGCGGCAAGGATGCAGCGAGGAGTCACCGCTAACTAACTGACAAACACTCAGGACAATCTCTCACAAACTTGCCTTTTGATAATAGGGGCGAGAAGCTACTCAACCCGCCTCTATTTTTTCTGTGGGATTTGACAAGGCTCAAAAGCGCGTTGTTCTCGATCGACTGCCCTTCTTTTCCTCCCTATTAATTAACACAAGAATATTTTGGCTCAACGCCGCCTTCGCACATCCCGTGGTTCATGGCCAAGCTGCGGTTCCCGCGTGTAGCTCACTAGATGCGCACATGTTGTTCTAGAGTCACGAAGCGGTGAAAAGCACTCGGGCTCTGCGATTCGAAAGCAAACAAAGGCATTTTGATTATATCGCCTGAGGAACATCACAAAAGGCAATAGGGAAGTACTCCGCGGTGTCTAGAAACCCGCCCCAGTGGAGGGGGCAGTGTTAACCGCGGAATATCAGTTGATGGATTGTTGGAGATCGCATACCTTTTTGATATTTTGATGCGACATATAGCAAGATCAATTGACTTCTTGATAGCAACGAAGCGGATGTTTTCGGGCGGATATGATCTGTTGAGGGGCACAAGGAAGATTGCACGGCGACTGCGGTAACCAAGCTAATTCGGCCTTACACCTTCCAGCATGTTATGTTGTCTTGTGAGACTGATTCTAACGATTTATCTCGATGGTAGCTGTCGATATCACCATCTGCGCCTCTCCGTCGGGGGGCGATGCTAGGGGAACTGGTCGGCAACCACGGGAAGACGGAGATCGGCCACTACCTTTATGGCGAAGTCTCTCGCCGTGGACAACGCGATCGCAAGAGGTTGTAGAATACAAGGACTACACCTCGTAGGGTTAACTAGGTCCCCGGCTACTCTTGGACGACAAACTTGACGCCATGGCGACTCTTAAAAAAAAAAAAAAAAAAAAAAGGGAAAGGAAAAGAAAAGAAAAAAAAGAAAGAAAAGGCGCAATCTCCAAGAGGGAATAAGCGGCAATACTCCATACTCTGTACTGCTAATGGACAAATTCGGATGCAGATCCGCCTATCAAATGGATCTGGCTGAGTTTCTAGTTCCCTTTAGTTACCTCGCTCGGTCCCCTTCTGCTCCTCTCTATTTCTTGGAGAAGTTATTCCTTTGCAGGTGTCTGCCGTGAAATCACCCTTAGTTATTTCGGCACCAATGCGCCTACACAGCCTTGTACAACCTTGGGCCAAGAAGTCGCTGGGTGTGGGACCGTGCTTCATCAACACACTTGGCGTTCTTCAAGGTCAATGCTTGCTGTACCTGCATATTCATGTTAGTTCTCTCTGCGAAGTCCTCTCTTCCTCACCTCCCTCTCTCTGATCTCCGTCTTTTTTCCCTAATATGTCATCACTATGCTCGTTTGATAAGTGATAAGAAAGAAAAGAAATACAAGCACATTTTATGCGGGATATTGTGGACAAGAAATGCTGGTGGCGCGAGGTTTCAGTGCGCGTGTGAGGCTTCCGTAGACTAGTTAGCTGTCCACTCGGGCTTTCTACCTGGGAAGCGGAGCGAGGCCGGGGAACATACTCCAGCTCTCGAAGACAGACCGATACCAGCTCCCTAGGTCTACGACTCTCCCCCCGCTCCGCGCGAGTGAAATAGTTAAAGCATGGTCAAAGCCTTTCATAGCCATTGCTCCTATCAGCGTCTGCTTCTGTTGTTTCAAAGACCGAACGCCTTGGATGCGAGATCTCTTCCGTCACGCCTTCCCGCGCCTGGACTGACCTTTCGCATGATCGTATCCGTTAGCGAACGCCATAGCCGCCCTTGTATGGAGGAGACAGGGGCATCTCATTTCCGCCACCACAAAAAATATGATACTTATTCGTGGACAGTTCCTTTGTGGCGCTCTCACAAAGGCTAACCACTGCCCGCTCATGATGGTCTCTCCAGCTTCACGATGTGGAATCCAAAGAAGATGGTAAAGTTTTGAGGCTTTGCAGACACAAGGTCACTGGTTAAGCTGTGCCGATCAAATCGCTAAGTTGCGGGATCTCCGCTGCTCTCCCGAACCCTAAATATATCCGAGGCGGACAGGTCGCATTTTCCACACCAAGCGCACTGGGCCCAACCAGTTTCTCACTCAAAGATAACTAGATTGTGGCATTGAAGAAGGAAAAATTCAGACATGTATGCGTCATTAGGAGCCAGATCTGCCAGGCACGAAGGCGAAGAGCTCTCCTGGCATGGAGTATGCGGGCAACGAGATTCGTCGGCAGGAGATCGAGAAAATGCAATGCAATCGGTCCCACATTGAGCATAGCAAAATAGCTTCCTGCTAGAATTCGAACGAATAAAATGACCCATAGAGCTTGTTGACGGCAGGGAACTACACAGTTCCTATATGCGTACATCGAGTGTTGCGGTCTCGAGTCGCTGAGGAGAAGGAGGCGCGAATGGAGAAGGGGAATGTAACAGAAGACATGTTGACTATCAATATACGGTATGTTCGACATAACTTCCCCGTTATATCGATGGGTTTCCCCGCTACAGCGGCACTTCGAGGAAACCCAGGCATCAAACCAAGAAAGGACCTTGAGGGCGGGAGGGGTGGTACGATGCTATTGGAGTAGAGGACTGATCATCAACTCTATTGACGAATCTATGACTGTTATCGCTGCTCTCCATGCAGACAAATCTCGGCGGCGCAGGTTCCAGAGCTGTATATCTTCAATAGAGTGAATGTCAATTTCTCGATCCCGCATTCCAGCCAACGATCTATGGATCAAAGTCGGCTTGATCGGCCATGAATGGCTTGAAAGCGCGGCATCGGACAGCCTGGAATTTGATGTTTATGATGCCATGTGTGTTGCAGGGAGGAAATTATGCGACCACATTTGCATCTCGAAAATGAAGCAAATCGACACAACTTTGTTCCCTCTCTATAAATTGTCCCTCTCTGTGCGGCGCTCATCGACAGCATAAAAGGGAAGGCCTACCCAGAGTCCTTTTCTCCTCGTCCCAAGTGTCATTCTAATAGCTCTACATCAATAGGAGTGACCCACAGCAACATTTTCACAATGGTCAAACTTCTCATCGTTAGCCTTCTTGCGCTCTGTAAGTCTGAAATATATACTCCCAACTCCATTTTGTTCATTATGCGATACTAATCTGATACAGGTGCTTCTGCTGTTCCCCAGGAGCAAGACCCTGGCAACCGAATCTGTGCGCAATGGTGTGCCGATAATTTTGATAATCCTGGAAGGATCTGCACTGCTCCAGCTGCCCAGGGCAGGGGCCCTTGCTATACCTGTGGTCCTTTCAAGGAATCAGAGTCCCAGGAGCTATGTGACGAACGGTGTCGTGATACTGATACTCATCCACAACACTGTGGAAGATGTGACACTCCAGTGAGTTATCATCCTTATTTTCAGTTTATTAACACAAAAATTTTGCTAAGCATGCATGACCCAATAGTGTTCTCAGGGATCATCCTGTGTGGGTGGAGTGTGCCAACCAGCCTGTCCTGCTGGTCGGAGTACATGCCCTTCTGGCTGCAAAGATCTCAATTCTGATCCACAACACTGTGGAAGATGTGACACTCCAGTGAGTTATCATCCTTATTTTCAGTTTATTAACACAAAGATTTTGCTAAGCATGCATGGCCCAATAGTGTTCTCAGGGATCATCCTGTGTGGGTGGAATGTGCCGAGCAGCCTGTCCTCCTGGTCAGAGTACATGCCCTGCTGGCTGCAAAGATCTCAATACTGATGAACAAAACTGTGGAGCGTGTGGCACTGTGGTGAGTTATCATCCTTATTTTCAGTTTATTAACACAAAGATTTTGCTAAGCATGCATGACCCAATAGTGTGCTCAGGGATCCTGTGTAGGTGGAGTGTGCCAACCACTCTGTCCTCCTGGTCAGAGTCCATGCCCTACTGGCTGCAAAAATCTCGATTCTGATCCACAAAACTGTGGAATATGTGGCAATGTGGTGAGTTATCATTCTTACCTTTCTGTTTCTTGATATAGAGGCTTTGCTAAGCATACATGGCTTGACAGTGCCCTCAGGGATCATCCTGTGTGGGTAGATCGTGCCAACCAGCCTGTCCTGCTGGTCAGAGTCGATGCCCTACTGGCTGCAAAGATCTCAATTCTGATTCACAAAACTGTGGAGCATGTGGCAATGTGGTGAGTAATATTCATGTGTAGTCAACACATATCAGATTGCTAATCCTTTTTCCCCCTCAAGTGTACCCACGGAGTATGCAGGGCAGGACAGTGCAGCCGCAAACATTGCCCAGGCTCAAAATTGTCACTGCTTCATATACTTAGGCTAAGTGATGGTGGAGATTGTGACACACCATGTGAAAATGACAACTGTATTTGAACGATACTTTGAGACCATTACAGGGAACCTGCAGTGGTTTTTTCGGTTGTTTGTGTTTCCTATGCACTGTTGTATTTGCTTCACCTTGCTTCTTTTTCTCTGAAAAAAACTCGCTGGCCAAGCAGCAACGAGTCAATTCAATGTGCTGGCCAATTTTTTTTGCTTAAATCAGTTATTAATTAAATGTCTCAATTCTTGCAGCCCATTGTGTATCTTCACCGTCGTTAAATCTTGGGGCATTAGTGATATGAGTGGGGTTCAGATAGCCGGAATCAGCACCTCAAAAGCTTCGTGCAATGAGGGTTGAAGCGGGGATACTTAGCAGCCCAGGTAAAATGAGAAGGTCAGCGGAGAGCCTAAGGTTGGTAGGAATGGAATCGACGCGCCTATCGAGCTTATTGATGGGATCGCGAGGAAGAGCACTAAACAGGCCCAACCCGGCAATCATGTCGCAAGGGATCAAAAGGAAGGCCTGGTAGCTTTTACACAGAAAAAAAGAAAAAGCCGCTACGGGCAAGGAGGAGATCTCTCTCGAAGAAATAGATAAAAGCAGCCTAGCTAGGGACTAAGAACAATGAGGGGATAGAGAAGAGAAGAACGATAAAAGAATATCTTCATCGCTTTGTACTTCGAAGGTTGATCCCCTTCGAGTGTGCCTGTAGGCTTCCATTCCAATGCACATTTCCTTCTGACCTCCGAAACCCGTGCTAAATCTCCTTACTAGATAAATAAACCAGCAGCCCAATGATCTCTTATAGCGATCCTTCAACATCACAATCGACCGCTTCAAACCTTCCATAGAATGCTAAATCGCGGGATGTTTTGAAAGCAGCTGCCCCTGCGATCACCTGGGGGAGGGCGTCTAAACTTCCAGGTACTGGAAAAGTTCTCAAATCAGGCTACAAGGCTGAGACACCCGTGATATCCACAGATCAAGAGATATTGCGAGGATCAGATGAAGCCGCTTACACGAAAAGAGATTGGCTTATTGTTGGGTGGGTGCATGGACGTGGTAGTATTGGTGAATCGGAGGCGTACAGCGGCCGCGAAACATCCCTGAAGTGGCCTTCCGTTCACCGTTCGAGCCTGAAATTAAGCAAAACATGTTAACGCATTCGGTCTCCTTTACTTGCCGGCTTCGAGTCGGGAAGGGATGAGTTTGGCAAATTGGCTCGTCAATTGTCCACCTTAGCCAAGGTAGGTGGCCGAGAGGACCGGAGGCATGGGTGATCTTCTGGAACATTGACAGCTAAGGTTTAGTTAACTATGCCACAAAATCTGCAGAGGCGAGGTATTGCTGCAGGGGTTGAACTTCCTAGGAGTAATAATTAGGCAAGCCGCTAGATCTCGGCTCGACCACAAATCCAAGAGGGCATTTGCGACCATCAAAGCAAATTCATTCAAGAGCTGAGTTGAAATAAAAGAAAAGGCGGGAGCAGGAATGAAGGAAAATAGGTCAACGTCAAGAACCGCTCCAGTTCGACGTCCTTCCAACACACCTGCAACCCCTAACTTATCGCCAACGACTCTGCCACCTTCAGCAAGCCTTTTGTTTTCCGCCCAGAAGCAGCGAATATGAATTGCTATGGTGCATAGTTATATTCACAGAATGCTTCCTTAATCATGCGGTAAAACTTTGCGATATGCATTTTTGCATTCCAGTGACTGGAAACTCAGAGACCAAACCCACACCGAGCAGGGACCGATAGAAGAGCTGGTCTAGAGGAGGGCGATAATGGTTACATGTTGCAAACATTTATATGATTGGACATGATGACACGTTTAGACTCTCAGATGGCCGGGCCAGTGATTGAGCCATTGAAGTTCGAAGCCAGGCTCGAAGGAATGCGCTGCCTTCTATAGCAGAATGACATTGAGAAATGGGCTCCGGCTGCCATTAGTAGCCATCAGCTGTTGGTATATCAAATGTATAGGTATAGTAACGGAAGCTCCTCCCTCGGTTTTGCTGGTTGGGATATCCTCGGGGGGGATTGACCCCGAACCTCAACTCCACGGAGTCTGGAATACCTCCTGGAGCGCTAGTATGTTTGCTGTTCCCATATCCAATCCGGTAATATTTTCGTCTCCGTTGAGGTTGTTTTGACTAGCAAGGTGCACGATTGCTGGATGCATGACAAAGCACACGCCATAGGGGGTGTCAACATTGGAAGCTTGCATCGGATCTACCCCGTGTCGCAGGGCGGTCCCGGGGATCGAGCCCTACGGGGTGAGACAGTTCTCCCTGGAATGATGGACAAATCTTGCTTCATCAGTCCAGAAGATGTTAATGAAAGACAAGGCACAGCAGCAAGCCGAGGTATCGCAGCATGCCGTTTCGAGAGCAACGGCCGCCTGCCCTGCGTCTCGGACTCGGGCAGATTCCGCCGGTCAAGCAGGTCGAGCAGTTCGGCCTCGAGCTTCAGCGACGACTCGTGATGTCATGTGAGCAGTTGGCTTCACATGCGTTTGCACTGTTTGCACTCGGATGCTCTCCGGGGTAATTTTACCGTACGGCGGCTGTCCCGCGCTAAACCCGCTTGGGCGCTCGCCAGTCACGCCGCCGCTGCTCGTCCAACGTCGTCAGTCGTCCGTCGTCCGTCGTCCGTCCACGCTGCCTCTCGGACATCAAGCGAAGGCCCTCGGAAGGATCCAGAGCGCATTTTCTCTGCATCTGGCTTGGACGGCGTGCTCTGGCCTTAAATCCCCAGTGCATGTCGGAGAAACCTACCTGCAAATTCGCAAGCTTTGGAGCCCACCGGTTCGCCATGCTCCATTGGACCGAGGATCCGTCTGCGCCAGCAACCACACAAATCATGACCGGCCATTCTCCAGAACCAGAACCCAAAAAAGAAAAATTAGTACTGTATGGCACCCCGAAAGCGTGAGCTGGACACTCCATATGTAAGCTTTCTCCTTCCAGCCCTGGGAGGTTCCTGATTCGCAGGATAATTAATCTGGAGCCCTGTTTCGGGACCTTTTCTCCAATGGTGGTTCATAATCCCGGCCCAGTTCGGACGCTTGCCGCCGTGCGACATCTCTCGAGCTCCTTGTTTCTCTTTTTCCCTTTTCCCTTATGGCAAAACGAAAAGCAATTAAGGTTATGCCAAGTTAGTGCGTTTTTTGCCTCGGGGGAACCGTCCGCAGGCGCGCATGATTTTTTTCCTGGAGAACAACCGTTGACTCATGCGGACGGATTCCTCGAGGCTATATCTACGCATCTCTGGCTCGTTTCCGTTGTGGCTTGATATCTCTTCTTCTCCCAGCTGCATTCTTGCTGTACACGTCCTTGTCCCCGTGTCTGGTGAAGCAAACACCTTCTCCAACCGTTTCTATTTTACTCGGAGCTTCTATTGGCGGAAACTTCTCTCCGTTCGTTTTCCATTTGCAGTGACGTCGTCAATGAGCCCTGTACCTCGGAATACAGGAAGAATTTAAAAGTGACCCCGTGGTCGTTGCCTCTGTTGTTTTCTCTCAATTGAAATCCCTTTTTTTTTTTTAATCTACCCACATAGAATCTCATCACAATGTCGTTGTCAGTCGAGCAGGAGGAGCAAAAGTACTGGGAGGAGGTTGAGGCCGTCAAACAGTGGTGGAAGGATTCGAGATGGCGGTATACCAAGCGGCCATTCACAGCTGAGCAGATTGTCGCTAAGCGAGGAAACCTGAAGATTGAATATCCTTCAAACGTGCAGAGCAAAAAGCTATGGAAGCTCGTGGAAGAGAAGTTCAAGGTAGAAATGCCCTCTCGGGAGACATCTCGATGACACCTGTGCGGATGATCGTTTGGCTGACGAGTTGGGTGTGAATCCTAGACAAAAACCGCGAGCTTCACCTATGGCTGTCTGGATCCTACCATGGTCACCCAGATGGTCAAGTACTTGGACACCGTCTACGTCTCTGGATGGCAAAGCTCGTCCACCGCCTCCTCCACCGATGAGCCATCACCAGATTTGGCTGATTACCCAATGGTGAGTCCACAGGCCATATAGAGTATTTTGCGCGAGCCAGTGCTGACAATAAGAGTCATAGAACACTGTGCCAAACAAGGTCAACCAACTATGGATGGCTCAGCTCTTCCACGACAGAAAACAACGTGAAGAAAGACTCCGCAACCCCAAAGAGAAACGCGCCTCTCTTGCCAATATCGATTACCTTGCTCCTATCATCGCCGATGCTGACACCGGCCACGGTGGTTTGACTGCCGTCATGAAGTTGACAAAGCTCTTCATCGAGAGGGGTGCCGCTGGTATCCATATTGAGGACCAAGCTCCCGGAACGAAGAAGTGTGGACACATGGCTGGCAAAGTTTTGGTGCCCATCAGCGAGCATATTAACCGATTGGTTGCCATCCGCGCCCAGGCTGATATCATGGGTAAGTAGCTCATCTCGCATCACACCTGCCAATCACGAAGACAATGCTGATATCCCCAAAGGAACCGACCTTCTTGCCATTGCCAGAACTGATTCCGAGGCCGCGACCCTCATCACTTCCACCATCGACCCGCGCGACCACGCTTTCGTCGTAGGCTCCACGAACCCGAACCTCGAACCCTTGAACGACCTCATGATCGCCGCCGAGCGCGCCGGAAAGAACGGTGCCGAGCTCCAAGCCATTGAGGACAGCTGGACCGCCAAGGCCGGTCTCAAGCGCTTCGAAGACGCCGTCATCGACCAGATCAAGGCCTCCTCCGCCGCCAACAAGCAAGCCGCCATCGACGCTTTCCTGCGCGAAATCAAGGGCAAGAGCAACAAAGAAGCACGCGCCATCGCGCGTCAGATCCTCGGCACCGACATCTTCTGGGACTGGGACGCTCCACGCACGCGCGAGGGGTACTACCGGTACCAAGGCGGGTGCCAGTGCGCGATCAACCGCGCTGTGGCGTTCGCTCCCTTCGCCGACCTCATCTGGATGGAGAGCAAGCTGCCAGACTACGCACAGGCCAAAGAATTCGCCGAGGGCGTGCACGCCGTCTGGCCGCAGCAGAAGCTCGCGTACAATCTCTCCCCCTCGTTCAACTGGAAAGCGGCGATGCCGCGCGACGAGCAGGAGACGTACATTCGCCGCCTGGGCGAGCTGGGGTACTGCTGGCAGTTCATCACGCTGGCGGGCCTGC